TTTTAATTCTTACACTTTTGAGATAGGGTCATACTATGTAGTTCAGTCTGGCCTTGAACTCACTATATAGCCCAGGCTGACCTCGAACTCATGGCAGTCCTCCTGACTCAGCCTGTCCAGGGACCACAGCTGTTCACTGCTATGCCTGGTGACATACATGCTGTTAAAAAGTCTAGATTGCTCTGAAGAGACTGGTAGAAATGTAGATGTTACAGGTTTGTGTGATGAGGACTTGGGGGGAAAAGGAGAGCACTGCAGAGAGAGCCTCTGTCATCTTCAACTGAGCAGCTCACCATGGACAGAAGGACAGAGATACAGGCCTCGCTGTGTGACCAGAGAAGGCAAGGGAGGAAGTGAGGAATGGGTACTGGACACGGGGGAGAGGGGATTTTATTATAAGGTGACAGCTAACTGAGCTGAATTGTGCCCCAGAGTTTTTTGTAGAAGGTCGAATTTCACAGGGATGGACTAGGACAGAGGTGGTGAACCTATGTCCCTGTGCTGCAGCAGACACATGGAGCCCTGTCTGTGCCCACTTCAGCCAAGTCGCCGCAGCAGCCAGCGTCAGATAATAGTTGTTTTTTCTAAACTGAAACCTCAGTGTTCAGGTTTAGTTGCAGGGTTGGTACTTGGCGTTGAATAAGTGGGTTTTAGGTTGTAGTTTAGACACTTGTCTCGTGAAGGTTCACCATCACGCTCAGCCTATTTCCTCTTTGCTGCTTACAGTAAAATGCAGAGATAAATTGAAAAGAAATTAAGAAAAATGAAATCAGAACTTGAAGATTTGGAAAATTCTTAGCCTGACCATATTGGGAGAAATGAGAGGGTGTAGAGGACTCTGGGGCATGGCTGGCCGGTCATCTTGGAAGCCAGGCTGGCTTGTGACTTCGGGGTCATGTCAGCTGTCTGGAAGAATCCTGGCACGGACATGGTGCACCCTAAAAGCTCTCAGGGGGACTCTCCCCTCATGGCCTGGATTCTCAAGAGGTAGTACACAGGAGGCCAGCAAGATGAGACTAGCAGAAATACCATCAAACTTGGACGTAGGGGACAGAGACAAGGTGAGGTGAAAGCTGTTGGACTTCTGGGGCTCTGTAGGCTAGGACCTCAGAGGTCACTGGAGCAGGTAGGCCTGCCACTGTCATCCGGCTGGTGTGCACTGGATGTACAGGATGTGTGCAGGACCTGTACACAGGATGTGTACAGGATGGTGGGGCTGTCGCCTCATTGGTGCTAGCAAGGTTGGGATTACTCCTTTCAATCTAATAAGAGATAGTTGAATAATCAAGTTAAATATTGGGTCTTTGTATACTCTGAAAATGTCTATTAAAAAAAACTAGCCAGATGTGGCACACGCCTGTAATCCCAGCACTTTGGAGGCTCAGGTAGGAGGGGCACCACAAGTTCAAGACCATTCTAAACTATACAGTGAAATCCAGGCCAACCTGAGCTACAGCAAAATCCTGTCTCAAATCAAAACAAAACCAGAAACAAAGGCTAGTCTGGGCTATACAGTGAGTTCAAGGCCAGCCTGAACTTCATGGCAAGATCCTGTCTCAAAACAACAATCAAGAGCAAATGCCAAAAAAAAAAAACTTTTTTTTTTTTAAAAGACATGGTCTTGCTATGTAGTTTAGGCTGACTGTGAGCTCACTTTGTAGCCCAGGCTGGCCTCGACTTGCAGTGATCCTCCTGCCTCAGCCTCCTGAGTGCTGGGATTACAGGTGTGTGCCACGATGCCCAGCAAAAAACAACTATTCAAGAGCCAACAGCTTTACTTTTAAAACATACTGAAGCCTCACTGGGCATGGTGGAACACACCTGTAATCCGAACACTTGGGAGACTGAGGCAGGAGAATCATTGTGAGTTCAAGACCAGCAAGACCCTGACTCAAAAAACAAACATGGAAACCTAAACAGGAGGACTCTGATTGATATAGATCAGGAATTGTAGTCCGGCATGAGGCCAGCCTGGGCTATGCAGGAAGACCCTGGAGACCAGAGTTGTAGTTTATTAATTAAAATAAAAGGAAATCTGAACAAATACATCACAACACACTCATCAAAATTTTATAAAAATCAGACTATAATTACATATATTAAAAATTTCTCTTGAACTTTGTGACTGTCCTTAAAGAAGAGACAATTTGTTTATTTATTTACTTTTTCTTCTATTTTTGTTTGTTTTGGGGGGAGTGTTGAGACAAGTCTCACTATGTAGTCCAGGCTGACCTCAAACTCAGTGATCTTCCTGCCTCACCCTCCCAAGTTCTGGAATTACAAATGTGCGCCACCACGCCTGGCTACTTTTTCTTTTGTTTTTGGAGGGACAATTTTTTATATATATTAGTGTTTATTTGAATTTAGTGCAAAACTTTCCAAGTGGATTTGAGAGCATATAAGGTTAGTGGTCTGGCTTTGATTTTTGATTTTTCTCTATATCTTAGAGTCAAGAAGACAAAATTTAATTATTTTATCTCACATTGCTTATAATGTCATCTGTTAACATTTTGTAATTATAATTCACTGCCAAATCATCTGATTTTTCTTTTAATTACTTGAAAAACTTTTGAGTGCTTCAGTACATTGTGCTTATATATTTTGATGCAAATCCTAAATATCATATAGTTTCCGTTATAAATTCTTCGGTGAATGTATTTTTGTGAATCATAGTAAAAAAGCATCTTTTTATTGTTGGCAGGCCGTTTGGACAGTTAAATCATGGCAACCATAGAAGAAATTGCGAATCAGATTATTGAACAACAGATGGGAGAGGTATGTCTAGTGTACAGTTGTTTTTCTTTTCTTTTTTCCTTTTTTTTTTTTGAGACAGGATCTCGTGCACTTCAGGCTGGCCTTGAGCTCACTATGTACCCCAGCCTGGCCTTGAAGCAGTCCTCCTGCCCTGGTCTCCCAGTGCTGGGATTATAGACATGTGCCACCACATCCAGCTAGTGTAGTTTCTTGATTGACCCACCTTCCTTTTGTTTTTTACAGTAAGTGTATATGTGGGATCCTAGAGACACAGAGATACAAGATCCCCCTGCCTTGGAGAGTTAGCTTTATAGTAGTATGGGTTGAGTCCTGGGCTATGGTAGAAAATGCTCAGGGCCATGGCACCTGATTGTCTAATGAAGAGGGCAGGTTGGTCACAGGGGCCAGGACCAGGCCATGTTTTGTGGAGGGTGTCACATGTGAGGCAGGTCTTTGTTTTTTTTGTTGTTGTTATTTGCTGTCCCTCAGATGGGACCGCGGGCCTGTGCTGTACCACTGAGGCATGGCCCCAACCCTTGCTTGTTTTTTTTTGTTTTGTTTTTTTTTGTCTTTTCTTCCAGTACCAGGAATCGAACTCACGACCTTGCGCTTGCCAGGCAGGCGCTTTGCTACTGAGCTAAATCCCCAGCCCCTATTTTGTTTGTTTTGTTGTGGTGGTAGGGTTCTTGTTGTTTGTTTGTTTTTTCTTTTTTCCTTTTTTTTTTTTTTTTTTTTGTATCAGGAATTGAACTCAGGACCTTGCACTTGCCAGGCAGGCACTTATGCTGCTGAGCTATATCACCAACCCTGTTTGTTTGTTGAGACAAGGTCTGGCTACCCAGTTCAGGCTAGCCTTGAACTCACTGTATACCCCAGGATGGCCTTGAACTTGCTGAGATCCTCCTGTCTCAGCCTCCTGAGTGCTGGAATTACAGGCATGCGCCACCATACCTGGCTGTTTTTGTTTTATTTTTGAGGCAGTATCTCATTGCCTTGCCCAGGCTGGCCTGGAATATTCCATCCTCTTGCCTTAGCCTCCCAGGTAGCTGGGATGGCAGGTGGGCACAGTCATGCCCGGCCCCAGGCCAGTCTTGACAGTTTGTGTCGCCACTGACAGATGCCTTTTTTAAATGGTTATGTCCTGCTCTTTAGCACAGGATACTGTGATATGATGTGGGTTTTTTTGTTTTTATTTGGGTTGGCTCATTACCCCTAGAACTGTTAAGTGACTAGAATAATGTTGGGGCACTTGAGGTCCAGAAGTAGTCCTCAGAAAACAAAGCTTCTTGGTGACCTTTTCCTGCCCTCCTTTCACTGCTCATCTGCCTGTGGAGAGGGAGGGGCCCTGTTGTACAGTAGCTCTGATAGAAACCAGTCTCAGCACCTGACAGTGAGATGGGATGGGGTGGTTGAGAGGAGCATCGGGAGGCAGAGACTGGAGGGTTGTAGGCTGTAGGCCATTCTGGGCTACATAGAGAGATGCCATCTCAGGAAAACAAGACAAGAGGAGCCCCCTGGCCCCCAAAGCATGTAATAACCAAGTCATGGCAAACTGTGGCAACACTTGTCCTTTTTCTTTTTTCTACATGTATTCTCTAATGGAAGGGTTACTATATGAATTTTAAGTACATAAAATGCACTAATTTTAGTTTTTACTAAAAAAATTTCTTAGTTTTTTAAGACAGGGTCTTGCTGTGTAGTTCAGACTGGCCTTGTACTCACCATGTAGCCCAGGCTGGCCTTAAACTTGCGGCATTCCTCCTGCCTCAGCCTCCCGAGTGCTGGAATTACAGGTGTTTGCCATCATGCTAGCAATGCATTAATTTCAAATGTGTATTAAAATACATGTATATAAGCCATCCATGTGGCGCATGCCTGTAATCCTTGCATTTGGGAGGCTTCAGCGGGAGAATTGTTGTCAGTTTGACACCAGCCTGGGCTACAAAGTGAGTTCCAGGCCAGCCTGAACTGTATAGTGAAACCCTGTCTGTCAGGCAGGCACTTGCACTGCTGAGCTATATCCCCAGCCCCTGTGAAACCCTGTCTGAAAAAGACCAAAAAAAAAAATGTATTTGTGTGAATTTCAACAGTAAAACCGCCACCTACATCAAGACTCAACAGTAATTTCACATATGAATGTCACATAAAATCTCTCAAATGTGAATTATCTTGTAATATCCTTATTTCTGCTTAATAAAAATGTTGCCCTCCATTTCTATAACCTGTTTCTTTTTTTTTTTTTTTTTTTGGTGTCAGGAATTGAACTCAGGGCCTCTCGCAAGAGTTTCTATTCTCTTTAAACCCTTTTAACTTTTTAAAAATACCATGCATCTCATATCAGAATTTGATTTTCTTTTATTCAGTTTGGGTCTTATTAAACAGGAATCTAACCAGTTTATGTGTGGAATGTACCTCTACCTCATCAATATCTTTTATGCTAATTTTAATGCTTCCTTGTTTTTCGTTTTTGGGGTGTTTTTTTTTTTGGCTACTTTTTTTTGTTTTTTTTTTTCCAGTACTGGGAATCAAACTCACAACCTTGCGCTTGCCAGGCAGGTGCTGTGCTGCTGAGCTAAATCCCCAGCCCCTACGTTTTCTTGTATTTTCACTTCTTTTCCATTTCAGAATCTTAAAGTATATGATCTATTTTTGTCTGTAATTCTATGCCAGATTGACTTATGAACGCCTATCTGATGTGGTAACTACTGGTTTTCCCAATCTAGCATTTCAAACTTATCTATCCCCTGCAAACCAGTGCTTTGGGAATTTTCTTCTATTATATTAATAGTATGAACTTGCTAAATGCCAGAAGACATTGTTCCATTGTAGATGTGCAAGAGAAAAATCTGAAGTCAGTCTGACTTACTAGTTTTTTCTTTTTAAGGGAAGTAAAACTACTGTTTTCCCCTTTTGTCAGATTAGCATTTAGAGTGTCTGCACTGTACTGGTGCTGTCTACAGTGACAAAGCACTTTTGTCTTACATGCATTTGTATTAACAACATTCACCTTTAACTATAGAATACTACATGGCAAACATAGAACTATTTGCTCAACACTTTGAATATTTCTATGCACTGTAACAGTGTAAAATTATATAAAGAGAAAATTTTAGATGTAGCTTATAAATCTGTTTTGTGTTTAGGTTTATTACCCTATATATAACAATTTTAGAGGTTATGCTTCTTAACTAGCTTTAATGATTACTGTCAAATCTTTCATGCGTTTGTCTTCCTGCTCTTTTTCTGTTGGTTGCAGTAAATGATTCAGCAAATGTTTCAGAGAAGGTTCTTGGGTGATAGACTTTTTAACCCCTCAGTATCTGTGAATGTCTTGCAGTGGCCTTCATAGTAAAATGCTAACTTGGCAGAGTATATAATTCTTGGTTCCACATTATTTTCCCTTAAAACTCTGTAGATGTTGTTCCATTGTCTTCTGGCATTGAGAACTGCAAGAGAAAAACATAAGGTTAGCCTGCCTTTTCCCCTTTTGTAGGGAACCTGCGTTCTCTGAATACTTGTAAATTTTTTTCTTTACCCTTGAAATTTAAAAAGGTCACCAGGATATGTCTAGGTGTTGCTTTCTTACTAAATTTTATCTTGCGAGCCTTTTTCCATTGCAGGCCCACTTTGTTCTTCAACTCTGGAAAGTTTTCTTCAGTTCATTCCTTAATTATTGTTTCACTTTCATTTGTTTCATCTTCCATTCCAGGTATTCCTATTATGCACAGATTATATCTCCTGAATGGGCCTCGATAGCTGTTTTGTTTCCCCACTTTTTGGTTTTGTTTTGTTTTGTTTTGTTTTTGGTATCAAGAATCAAACTCAGGACCTTGCACTTGCCAGGCAGGTGCTTGTGCCACTGAGTTATATTCCCCAGTTTTCTCCTCTTTTTGTATTTTGATTTCTTTGTTTTTTTCCTCTACATTGTGAGAGAATTTTTCTCGTTTTGCATTTTTTTCAGCAATTTTATTTTGTGTCCAGGTTCCTTATATAATTTCCTTTTACTTTACCAACCCCAAGACATCTTCCATATGCTTTAACACTCTGCTTTATCATTGAGCACATGTCTTTGATAGCTCCCTTGTAAGAGGTCTAACACTTCAGTTCTCGGTGACTGGGGCCGGGGATATGGCTCAGTGGCACAGTGCCTGCCTGGCAAGCATAAGATCCTGAGTTTGATTCCTTATAAAAAGATAATCTCAATGACCTCTGTTGTAAAATGTTTAACATTGTCTAGCTCTCCTGTGGAGACCAGTGGCATCTAATTTAAGAAGAGGCATTTTCTTGTGCACTTAGCTCTGCTCCTTCCTTCTGAACTGCACTATTGGGACTTTTTCAGCTGCTCTTCTTCTCAGAAGGGTCCACATGTTAGCACTGAGGTTGAAGAGCTTCTAAAATGGCAAACCTGTCCCAAACAATACCTAGTATAGAGACAGAGATAGACAGTGTTAAAATGCAAGCATGTCTGCCATTCATGTCATAGCCATACTCCCCCCTTTCTGGCACTGAGAACTGAACACAAAGCCTTCACACTGAGCTACATCCCCGTCCCTTTTTTCATTCTTATTTAAACTCAGGGCCTCGTGAAGTCAGTAAGCTGCCTAGGCTGGGTTTGAATTTTCAATCTTCCTGCCTCCGCCTCTTGAATGGCTAGGATTATAGGCAGGTGCCACCATGCTCGCCTAAGTCTCAACAATAGTTAATGTTGATAAGAAAAGACTCTAAAATTAAGTTAAAGCCTCCTCAGGATGTAATACCTATTAAAAAATGACTGGCCTGAGGAGAAATTAAATCTAACTAACCATCAACTGATTTCTGTATTAAAAAGACCTGCACAAGTTTATCAAAAGGCAGATTAACAGTAAAAAATAACAGTAAAAAATAATAATAACACTAGTACAAAAATATTTTTAGAAGACAGATGACTTGTTTATTCAGATCTGTGTGTGACCCATGCTGTGGCTCCAAACTGCAGACTATGTCTGCCCTGCAATCACTGCGGGGTATAAACACCCTGACCCGCCAGTGAGGGTGGCTGGGGTGTGAGGGGTGCGTGGTCATGAACTAGAGTCGCCTGTGAGAGGGGTTTCTCACTTTCCACAGTTCCTGACTCATTGCTTAGGACCTAAGTGACTAGAGTGGTTTTGGGGTACTTCTGGCCACCGAAGCAAGCCTCACAACAGTCTCTCCCTGTGACCTGTCCCCTTTCGCTTCCTTGTCCTCCAAGGCTGGCTGTGACCTAATCTCCCTTTCTGTGTCAGGGCTGCCATGAAAAGGAGGACCTCCTCGTTTCAGAAGCCTGGCCCATCCTGGGAAGGGAGCGCTGCACAGGGAAGCCTTGCTGGGGGTATTGGCATCAAGCTGGCCTCGAACTCGTAGTCATCCTCCTGTATCAGCTTCTCGGGTGCTGGTGTTACAGGCATGCGCCACCACGCCCAGTCTTTATGCCCTTTTCTGTGCAGTCACGTCTGACATGGTTATCTATGTTTCCATGTTTCTATGGTACACGCACAGTTAAGTCTCCATAAAAGCCTGAAAGGATGAGTTCACAGAGCTTCCAGATAACTGAACGTGTCCCACCTCACAAAACTCAGCCACCTGCCAGGAGGGTGGTGCAGCCCAGGTGTTCAGCACTTTCCAGACTGTGTCCCGTGTGTCTGCATTTAGCTGCTAGTTTATATCCTTTAAAATATCCTGTGTAGCTGCACATACATAGTTCCACCGACTTGCAGAGCAGAGGCAGAAAAGAGGATAGCAGGTTCAAGGCCAGCCTGAGCAATTTAGCAAGACCATCTCAAAATAAAGTAAAAAAGGGGCTTGGCTGTATGTAGCTCTGGGAGAGTTATTTGCCTAGCACTCGCAAGGCCTGGGGCCCAGCCCCAGTACTGCATAAAACAAAACAAAACAAAAGAGGCCTTTTTAATAGATGGCTGGGTATAGTATTTACCTGAATTCTTTTTTTGTGTGTTTTTTGAGACAGGGTTTAACTATGCACTTCAGGTTGGCCTTGAACTCCGTTTGTAGCTGAGGCTAGCCTCAAACTCAGAGTGATCCTCCTGCCTCAGCCTCCTGAGTGGTAGGATTACAGGCATGGGCCACTACACCTGGCTTGACCTGAGTTCTATGAGCTGTTCTACAAAGTAATCAAACTTAGAAGGAGTGATCTGAAGAAAGAAACCACTCATGTTTTTAGTTTTTAAAACAAGGTCTCACTATATTTCCAAACCTCCTATTGAACTCTTGAAAAACCCAATTTGTGCCTGACTGATCAAAAATTCCAGGGGCCTAGACTGAGAACTATATCTAAAATCAGGTCAGTCTTGAGGTCTGTGCTCTCAGCTTGTGGGGCATCGTATCTCCAGGTGTGTAGTATCAACTCAGTTTGAGCAGATGATACCTAGCTAGACCTGCTGTAAAATTGCCTACTTGCCAGTAGGGAAAGGTCCTTCATACCTCTTCAGGTCACAGAAGTCTAAAGCAATAAAGCCAGTTTTCCTAGACACCTGGGACTGTCCGTGTGGGATACAGATGTTCTGAAGGTATCATCCAGAGACCTTCCAGAAAGTCAGCAAGGTCAAAACTGTCTTTGTTTGTTTGTTTGTTTGTTTGTTTCTTTTTTGAGACAAGGCCTGGTCATGTACTTCAGACTGGCCTTGAACTCACTATGTAGTCCAGGCCAGCCTCAGACTCGCGGTAATACTTCTGCTTCAGCCTCTCAAGTGCTGGGATTACAAGCATGTCACCACACCCAGCCTGTCTTTATTATAATACCCAGATGTCCCTTGCCTCTTCACTGTTGCTTTGACAAGGACACTGGAATTTTCCAAAAGCTGCCTAATTCAGTAAACCAGTGTTTTCCAGTGATGAATGCATGATGGTAGGAAATCATGTGTGAGCTCAGGAACTATTCCATTTGCAGAGGGGACCAGTGGATTTCAAGAGAGCTTTTGATTGCATGTTGCAGCTCACCTTTAAATTTATTTTTCATTTAACAAGTTATTTCTCTTCACATATGATGAATTATTTTTAAGATTTCTCTTTGAAAATTTTAATATATTAAATATCAGTATATAACCCACATTAAACGAAAGCTCTTTGGGATTCTTAGGAAATTTTTGGAGTGAAATGGGACCTGAGAACTGTTACTGTATTTATTGTTCTTTTCTGTTGAAGTCCATTTGAATTGGTTTTTTTTTTCATTTTAGTTGTTTTGGTCTTCAGTTATTACAGTTATTCTGCAGTAAATTGTTGTTGCTGTTCTAAGTACATTTCAACCAGTGACGCTTGCACCATGCATGCCCCTAATGCTGTTGTCTGAGAAATGAGTGGGAGCCATACTGCTGATAGAAGCCATCCAGAACAGAGCTGAGAACAGTTTAAAATATGGTAAAGCCTGCTACACATGAGCCCATTCCAAGTCACACTGTAAAGCTGGGTGTGGTGGCGCACGCTGTAATTCCAGCACTCGGGAGGCTGAGGCAGGAGGATTGTTGAGAGTTCAATACCAGCCTGGGCTGCAAAGTGAGTTCAAGGCCAGCCTGAAAACTGTCTTTTCCTGTATGTATCCTTCTATCCTGGGTACTAGGGATTGAACCCAGGGAGCATCCCCAACTTTTATTTGAGATGGAGTCACACTGAATTGTGCAAGCTGGCCTCCTGGGATCCTCCTGCCTCAGCCATCTAGGTACTGCAGTTACAGGTGTGCCCTGTCACACCTGGCTGACAAGAACTCCAGTGCTAGGAAGCTCTCTTTGCTGTGGGCTGCCCTTCCTGGACGGCTCAGCAGACGGCAGCTCTGGCTCCAGCTGCACAGTCAGCCTTGCCTTCTCCTTTTCTTCCCGCTCTAGCCAGCAGCCTGTCAGGTCTCCTCTCTCCTCCCCAAACCCCAAACCCAGTCGTTTCCACACCAGTGTAGCTGCTGCTGATGTCCTCCTGTATATTGACAGTAGCTATAGCAGTATCCCTTCTGACCTTACAATTCTATTGCTTTTTGTCTTTTTTTCTTTTGCAATACTAGGGACCGAGTCCAAAGCTTTTGCACAGAACTGTAGTCGCAGCCTTTTAAAATTTTTTGTTTTGAGATAGCATCTCGCTAAGAGACTTAATTTTTGATCCTCCTGCCTCATCTTCCCTTAGTGCTGGGATTATAGGCTTTGCACCCAATGCCTGACTTGTTTTGTTTGGGTTTTTGGAAGCACAATCTCAATTTTTGTAGTATAGACTGTCCTTGAACTTGGGACCCTCCTGTCTTAGCCTCCCAAAGGCTGGGATTTAATTCTATCCTTAAATGTTTAATTCTGTTCTTTACACTAAATCTAGTTCTGTCACTAAATTTAAGAGTGATTCTTTTTCATGTTTCTGTTTTTTAGGGGGTGTTTTGTTGTTTGTTTTTGTTTTCTTTTTTGCCAGTGTTACACTGTGTAATTTGGGCTGGCCTTGAACTCACTTTGTAACCTAGGCTGGCCTTAAACTTGTGATCCTCTTGCCACAGTCTTCCAAATGTTGGGATTGTAGGTGTGCACCACTATGCCTGGCTACGTTTATTATTTTTTGTATTCTTGATAATGGCAGACATTCTGACTGGAGTGAGGTGGAATTTCAGCGTAGTGTTTTGTTTCCGGGTTTTTTTGTTTGTTTGTTTGTTTGGCTTTTTTTTGAGACAAGGTTTTGCTGTGCAGTTCAGGCTGGCCTCGAACTTGCAGCAGTGCTTCTGCCTCAGCCTCCCAAGTGCTGGAATTACAAGTGTGCACCACCATGCAGGCCTATCTCAGTGTGGTGTTGATCTGCATTTCCCTGATGGCTAAAGATGTTGACTGATCTTTCATATACACTCTTAGCCATTTGTATTAGTGTGACTCTTAACTAAAATGGAAGCTCCTGCAATGTCAAGCTCCAAGCACCACGTGCACTCAGTAGGTTATCGAGACCTTTGTGTGGCCTGTGGGGCTCCCCGCAGTCTGGCCCTAGCTGCTGTTCAGGTTCTATCTTCCACCTTGTCCGACTCACACTCTATGCCCCTTACACTACTCTTCTGCTTTGTCCAACGATTTCTTCTTGTACGTCTCCTTCCTCCATGGGGTGCTCTTTCCTCAGGAGCTGGCAGCCAGGCTCTGTCCCCCTAGTTTGTACAGAAATGTCAGCTCCTTCGAAAGAGCTTCGCTCTTGCTCTCCTTCCTGCAGTACCTCGCGCTTCTTGCTCTGCCTGCTTCCTTTTCACTTTGCTAACCCTAGTAATACCCTCGGCAGGATATCCTTACACTCTCCGCTGACAGGCTGCTTGAGGGTGTCTGCTTTGCACAGCTGGGCCTTGGCGAGGGGAGGGCCAGCCGGGGAGGAAGGAGCCGCTTGGTGATGGTTGACAGTCTTCTTAGTGCACCTTTATTTCCACTTTTGTCTATTGCTATATGCTGTAATGTCACAAAAGTAGAATTACAAGTTGAAAAAGTATAGAATGGTGGCTTTTGTAGCTTTGTCTAAAGATCAGGGAGAATTGTGTCATTAAGCAGTTGGACTTAGAAGATTTTGTCCTACTGGTTATGGATTCAGTGTGCCCGTCTCAGATCGTTACAGAGCAGCAGACTGCACAGAAAATCCAGATTGTGACAGCACTTGATCCTAACGCCCAGGGCAAGCAGTTCATCTTGACGAACCACGATGGCGCCGGGCCTGGTAAGGTCATCCTGGCCCAGCAGAACTCTCCAGGCAAGGTTTTCCTCACCACTCCAGACGCCGCAGGCGTCAACCAGCTGTTCTTCACGGCTCCGGACCTGTCCACGCCACACCTCCAGGTAAGTGACTGCACTGGCTAAATGTTTGGTGGGAGCACTGCACACACCCTGCATTGGGGCCTCACACCCTCATGCCGCCAGTGGAAAGTGCGCTGCAGTGAGCCACTGGGCCGCACCAAGCAGCCTGGGACCACCCCTTGGGGGTTACTGTTCTCATTCTTAGAATCCTCACTGCCACCCCTAGAATCGGGGTGTTCTTAGTTACATACGGTAGGATTTACTCCAGCTACTTTGGGTAGGGAGGGATTTCGGAAAGAATACAGAAAGCTCACAGAACTGTTGGGAAGGCTGAAGCAACAGTGTACGGCCAGGTTTCCGAGAACGGCTGCTGGGGCTTGCTGCGCACCGGCTTGAGAGACCTCTTCCTCCTCCTCCACGCGACAGAGGTGGTGTCCTGTGGCTGCGCTTCCAGACCCACAGGAGTCTGCTGGATTGAGAAGGGAGCTGCCATCCACACCGTCCTGTCGGCCACTGATGCACCCTCCCCACCCCAGTGTCCCTGCCTGTGGGGACCAGGAATTATAAATGGAGTCTAGGGGACGTCGGTGCTTGTTCTTGTCCTCCCCTTGGGCCAGATTAGACCGGGAACTCCCTGTTCTTCTCTGCTCACATCTGGAAGCCCTAGGGCTGATGATTACAATGGCGCTTACAGGGCAAGAGAAGACTTGTGGGAGCTGATAGGCACCTGGGGAAACTAGTGTCCTCATGGCCCCTGTCTCAGTATTGTTTTCGTCCTTGCAAGAATGCTCGGTTCTTCTTTGTAGCCCACTATAGTTGCTATTACTGTGCCCGGAAACACCCACCACCCTTCGCCCATTGACCTAGACTCAGATGTATTAAATAAACACCAGGGTGCGCGGTACCTCATGGCCTTTTGTTCTCGAGAACAGCTGGTCATCCCAGATCCCTGGCAGCACCAGTATTTTGTGTCTTGCTCTTCCTACCGTACGCTGTAACACTTGGCAGGAGATTGGGGACTTGCTGCAGAGGCCCCCAGTTGGCACCATGGAAAGTCACCAGTACCTCCCTGCTTCACAGTGAGAGCTGGTCTGCTAGTCCACTTAGGTGAGAATTAAAATGACATGTTCCGCCTAAGGAGTAGGTTCCTACTTCATAGTCTCTCACTGTGGTTTTGCAGTTACTCTTCCTGCCACAGGGTGGCTGTGTTCAGATGCAGTGCCCCCGAGGGCTGCCCCCAGAGACAGGGGAGGCATGCCTACGTAAAGCAGGGTTCCACTTTCAGGATGGGAGAAAATCCCTTAAGGGTTAAAAAATTCATACTTTATAGAACAAAGTTTTGCCTTTGAATAAATTGTAATAGATTCTGCCCTTTCATTGACATTATTTGTATTATTTTTAGAAACTAAGTAGAAAATAGGTAGAATTACGGGTAGGAAGTTGTTTTGTCAACGACACAAGGCTGGCCTGGTGGCTCATGCCTGTAATTCCAGCACTTGGGAGGCTGAGGCAGGAGGATCGTTGTGAGTTAAGAGACCAGTTTGTGCCACAAAGGGAGCTTAAGGCTAGCCTGAACTGCATAGTGAGACCTTGTCTCAAAAAGACAAAAAAAAAAAAACACAAAAGATACAGACAAACCAAATGCATGCATACATATTTTAATTTCTTTAAATTTATTTTTGCTTAATTTCATCATTATTTAATAGATGTTTATTTTACAGTTTTAGATTTACCAGAAGATTGACAATTTAGTCAAAGTTTCAGTAACACACCCAGCAGTTTCCCCTAACATTTTATGTTTGTGTGGTGTGTATTTCTTATAATAAATGAATCGGTATTGGTGCATTACCCAAACTCTAGTTTTTTGTTTTTTCTTTTTTTTTGAGACAGGGTTTCACTGGGTAGCCCAGGCTGTCCTCAAACTCAGTGGTTCTCCTGCCTCAGACCCCCAAGTTGCTGGGATTACAAGTGAGCACCACCACACCAGACACCTTTGTTTCTTTAAAAGTACTTATCAAAGACTGATATTTTTTTTTGTGGGACAGGAAGCGATGTTGCCTTGTGTTACGTAATAAAGGGCAGTCATTTTAAGAACCGTTAAGTCTTTCTGTTTGCTTTTTCTCATTTAAAATTCCCAAAGGCATTCACACTCGTAGTGGAAAAAGAAGGGTCAGGGGAGAGAGGATTACCGTCTGCCTTAACAGCAGAGGGAAGGTATTTGCTAAGTGACCTGGCTGGTGTTTTGGACTGAATTAATGATTTACTTACATTTTACGAGATTGCAAGAAAAAGTGAAAAGGCTGAAGGATAAACCTAAAACAAGAAACTAGTGTTCCTTTGCCAGTTTCCCAGTAGCTGTGCCTGAGGGCGCCTCCTCCCTGCGCACCAGGCTAGCTCTGTAGTTGGCTGCACGTCCCTCGCTGTCCAGCTCCGGCGTGGTGCTGCAGCTCCTCTCGGCCGCCTGCTCAGACCTTCAGTTCCCCCGGAGTCTGTGCCTTGGTGTTCAGTCATGTGATGGTAGTTGCATCAACAGCATCGGTTTCTTTATATTTCCCTCTTGCATTTAAAAAGTTCAGTGCTAGGGCTGGGGATTTAGCTCAGCGGCAAAAGCGCCTGCCTGGCAAGTACGAGGTCGTGAGTTCGGTTCCCGGTACCGGAGAAAAAACAAAAACAAAACAAAAAAAAAAAGTTCAGTGCTATCTTTTTATGTTGTTGGGCGCTTCAGTCATGTCGTTGCATGTGGAAAGGTGCTGAACCCGTCAGAGGTAGCTGTGGGGACCAACTGCTTCCTGCAGCGCTCAGGGTCTCCCGAGGAAAGCCAGTACCCCGTTTGAACTTGTGGGTTTCTGTCTGTGCAGTTTGGTTTCATTGCTCTAGAACAAATTAAAAAGATACTCCAACCCTCTGTTTTTCACAGCATTGACCCTTTACCTCTACATAAAGAAAAATAAAACAAGATGATTACAGAGTTTAAAATTTGACAGTACGTTATAAAGAAAGTAAAAAGAATGTTTTTTCGCTTTTCTAGAATGAGAATGTTCCGGAGTAATAACATTTTTTTTCTCTCTTTTTTTTAAGCTCTTAACAGATAGTTCTTCACAAGACCAGGGACCAAATAAGGTTTTCGATCTTTGCGTAGTGTGTGGAGACAAAGCATCAGGTAACATTAAAAGTAACTCGTGTTGTGTTGTTAAAATCACTACCGCACTACCATGTTTCTTCTGAAGGTAAAAAGGAAAGGCAAGGAATATTTCATTTTTATGGCTCACGTTTGTAGCCTATAATATTTAGCTAATTTTTTTCTCAAAGCTTTTTAATATTCACTTTTTTAGAACTTCGGTGCAGTTTGACTTGTAATGAGTAGGATATATGTTTCAGTGAATTATGCAGAGTTTCACTTTTGAAAGTGAAAAAATTCATGAATGTGCAAATTAAATTTGTGAAAAGACTGTTTATAAATGAATTGTGATCTTTCGGAATATGCTGCCTTGTTATCCTACTTCTTGAGTCCTGTCCTAGGAATAATTTGCATTATGGAGGTGGAAAAAGCTTTGGGCTCATCTGGAAAAAAATCTGTTTCATCTTCTATATTGTGCTTTCAAGAAATGAGTTTTATTTCTGTTGTAGAAAAATGAATCTTTTGTATTTTCTAAAATATTTTCTCTCTAGGGCGTCATTATGGAGCAGTAACTTGTGAAGGCTGCAAAGGGTTTTTTAAAAGAAGCATCCGAAAAAATTTAGTATATTCATGTCGTGGATCAAAGGACTGTATTATTAACAAACACCATCGGAACCGATGTCAGTACTGCAGGCTGCAGAGGTGCATCGCCTTTGGAATGAAACAAGATTGTAAGTATCAGCTGGAAAGGAGGGTTCTGACTAATGAACACATTAAAATGTCAGAAGTATATGTTCTGTGATTCACAGTTTTTCAACTGAAAATATAAGAAAATGTACATGGGTATGTTACTCAGTTGACAGATTTTTTGGAAATTTGGGTTGCATTTGCTGCTGGGGATCACGTGGGCCCTCTTGCATGCCAGGCAAGCACTCCTCCACTGGGCCATCTCTTCAGCCCACAAGCATGTTTTTTAGCTTGAATTTAGTGTGATAAATAGAAGAAAAGCCTAACTTGCCAAGTAGGATGGTGTGCATCTTTGATCCCAGTGCTCAGGAAGCTGAGGTAGGAGGATCGTGATTTTTTTTTCAGGCCACCTGGGCTACATCATTCGAGGCCAGCCTGAGTCTGTAACTCAAGAACAACAAAAAAGCATACCTAACTTTAAGTTATCAATTTACTTTTTTCTTTTTCTTTCTTATGTGTTTGATTGATTGGTTTTTTGAACCTGCATCTTGCTATATTATGCATGTTGACCTTGGCCTCCTCAGGATCCTCCTGCTTCAGCCTCTTGACTGCTGTGATTACAAGCATGTGGCCTGATGCCTGGCTTACCAACTTACTTTGGACTAAACTTGTAAAGAGTGATTAATGGAGGCTACGGCACCTGAGCCCAGGAGTTCAAGGCCAACCTGGGCAACATAGCAAGACTCGCATCCCCCAAAAATTTGGAGTGATGAAGAAGGTAACGAGAGTAGCTAGTACGGTACTGACTGCACCCTCCCTGTGCTGGACCTTGTGCCCAATATGTGTGCTGACTTAGCTCACAGCGTGCCCTTTTATAGCCAAGTCAGCAGGTCACACGGCACACAGATAGTCAGGGCAAAACTGCTCTGAATCCCAGCCGTCGGTTGTGGTTTTTACCTTGAACCCAAACCTTCCTCCCCAAATGTTCACTTACCAGTTACGTTATTTTATCTCTTTATTATGAAATAAGATTTTTGTAAATATTTCATGTACTTATATTAGCTGTTATATTATGAAGACTAGGCAGTTGAATTACATGTGAAAAAAATCTCATGGCCCTTGGCTAAAAAGGATGATGTATCTTAGGCCTTTTTGTGTCTATTAGTATTATTTGCAGTTGACTTAAATTTCATTTTATTTTTTTTTAAATGAGATTCCTGCTTTTAATTCTCTTTTTTTATTTTTTCAGCAGTAGGAATTGAACCCAGGGGCTTTGTACTGAAATACATTCCTAGCCCTGGCCCCTTCCTTAAAAATCATTTTTTATTTCAAGACAGCGTCTCAGGAAGTCCCTGAGTTGCCTGTTCTGGGCTTAAACTTGCGAGTTTCCTACGTCACCCTCCCCAAGTACTGTGATTACTGGCATTCACCACCACTCCTACTAGTTCTTCCTTTTTGACCATGAGCTTTTATTCTGTGTGGTGTGCACATGCATACATCCCCACACATGTTTATGTGTAATACTAGGCAAGATCCCAGTGTCTAACACTAAGCTATATCCCCTTCTTTTTTAATTTAGAGATAAAGTGTTGAGTTACTCGGCTGGTCTTGCATTTTCAGTCCTCCCGCTTCAGGCTCCCAGGTAGCTGGGATTATAGGCATGTCCCACCATAACCTGTGACAGTGATTCTATATTTTACTTAGCTTGTTTTTTTGAGACAGGTTCTCTAGTGCAGGCTGGTCTTGAACTTGCTTATGTAGCCCGAGCTGGCCTTGAACTTACTATGTAGCCTGGGCTGGCTTCAGCCTCACAAGAATCCTCCTACCTCAGCTCCCTGAGTGCTGGGATTACAGGCGTGCGCCACCATGCCCAGCTAAAGACTTATGGTCGTCTTTGGAATTCAATGTGTTAGCCATGGCTCCTATTAGCAGCATTGCTGATCCTGAGCTTAATTTATAACAGTTGCCTCTAAGTTCTGTATCCTCATTGTTGAATGCATTTTTATAGCTGTTCAGTGTGAAAGAAAACCCATTGAAATGTCACGAGAAAAATCTTCCAACTGTGCAGCTTCAACAGAAAAAATCTACATCCGCAAAGACCTCCGAAGCCCGTTAGCTGCCACTCCAACCTTCGTGACGGACAGTGAAACCGCAAGGTACTGTGCGGGGCAGTGGCCCACAGTGAGTCTCCACCGTCTGCCTCTTGCCTGGCGAGACTGAGGTCTGTGCTCACTGTTACAGGTCAGCAGGGCTGCTGGACCCGGGCTTGTTCGTGAACATCCATCCGTCGGGGGTGAAAGCCGAGTCAGCCATGCTGGTGACACCAGAGAAGGTGCGGTGCGTTCAGTGCCATTTAAAGCCTTGTTTTGGTTTTGGGTTTTTGGTGCTGGACAAACCTGGGCTCATGCATGTGTGGTATGCACACACTGTACCGTAGAGCTGCACCCCCAGCTCTAAAAGCTACGGTTTTCTTTAAGCTTTTAAATGGGCATGATGGCACACTCCTGTAATCTTAGCACTCAGGAGGCTGAGTCAGGAGGGTTGCTGAAAGTTGGAGCCCAGCCTGGGCCACACAGTCCAAGGACAGCCTAGACTACATATCAAGACCCTGTCTCAGTCACCAAAAAATATTGTTCTAAGTGTTAGATTTTTTTTTCATTTTCTTTGTCTCTCTTATCACTTTGGTTAACTGATTTGATCTTATTCTCCATTACAAGTTGCTTTTTTAAAACATAAATTATCAGCTGTTTGGTAGAAATGTCTGTTACTTTACTAGGAGAATTATAACTTCAAAGATGAAAGTCACAAAAGAATTTCTCTAGGGTTTTTTGTTTTTGTTTTTGTTTTTTTTTTTGTCTCTTTGAGACAGGGTCTTGATATGCAGTTTGGGCTGGCCCTTAGCTCACTTGTAGCCCGGGCTGGTCGAGAACTCACAAAGATCCTCCTGCCTCAGCCTCCTGAGTGCTGGGATTACAGGTGTGTGCCAACACACCCGGCTTTTTCTAGGTTTCTTTTCTTTCATCCTAAAATAAAAGTTATCACAAAAAGAAACATAGATGCAAAATTCTCAACGTCTTTTTATTTTCTACTACAGGTCTGTTAGTGCCAAATAATTAAAATATTTCAGATAGAAATTCTTTGCACACCTCAATCAAAACATTCACTTGAAAACCAGGCACAATGGTGCTCATCTGTAGTCCCTGCCTTCAAGAGAGAGGCTGAGGCAGGAAGATTGCTGTGAGTTTGAGACCATTCTGAACTTGTAAAACCCTGTTTCACCTCCCCCAACCATTCATGTGAGTTTAGAGTTCCTAAGACTACCAGGCTGTCATGATACACATCCAAGTCGTTGCAGTCTCTTGGAGATTGAAGCAGCTAGCGCTTAGAGAAGGGCTCTAAAGGAAACAAAGGTTTCTTTTTAAATTGAACCCATAAAGTTTCTGTATACCTCAGAAACTGCTGTCAGCACAAGGAACAAAGTTTTCCTAATAAGATAGTAGAGAATTAATAGTCAAGGTCCCTCTCTGCCAGTAACAGGGTCTGGGTTTATTTAGTTCAGTGAAGTGTTTTGGTTTGTTCAGTGATCTATGGGGTCAAAGCCAGAGCCCACCCGTGACAGTGACCCCTGCACCCTAGGCCCCATGCCCAGCCCTGTAATCTGCTTTCTATGACCGGAGAGATTATTTGTTCTAGTTACGTGTATTTTCCAGTTTATTGTGTATTTGTTACTTACTACTTTAAGGCATTCTCAGTATTAGGGCTCTGAAACCAGGCTTCATGGGCCACTGCCTGATGTGTGCACTTGGGCGGTCTCTGCCTCTAGTCTGCACAGGGAACATAATCCAGCTCTTCGCCTCCCTCTCAGGCCAGCTCTGCTGTGTCATTACTAGTGGGTGGCTCGGCCTTTTCCCGGGTACTTGGCAGTGATAAAGCTACACCCTGCCCTGCCTTCAGGATTCAGACTGAGAGCAGAGGTTGCTGTTCTGGGAGCCGGGCTCTGTGGAGAAGCGCATGTTCGCCTGCACGCCACACCGTGTCCCTGGATTGGATTCCGATGACAGCCTGTGTGTTAGGTCTCTCTGACACATAGCCTCACACAGTCTGGCGGCCATCATCCCATCACCGAGTGTGTGCTTAGCATGTGTGTGGGCCAGGCCTCAGTTTCAGTAGCAGGAAAGAAGCCAGTGGCTCCAGACTGTCCCATCACACAGTGAAGTTTCTCCGTGTTGCCCAAGTCTGCAGTGGCAAAACCTGAAAGCTCTAGTAGACATTGTGCTTTGTGGAAAAGAGTATATAAGCATTTTTAGTCTAATGTTAAAGTACTTAAAAACCATAACTACTCTTACTCATGGGTAGGGTGCATGTGCAGCGGTGGTCGGGCGTGTGAACCTGGCTGTCACACAGGTCTGATTTCCTGTCCTGAGTGATGGTTCTGTGTGGTCACAGAGGGACAGTGATTCCTACCTGCCAGGGTTCTTCCAAGGGTGAAATAAAATACATATACAAGTAGAAGTTGCACAGAAACTTGGCCCCTGGTGGGGTCTTCCTCAGGTGATTCTGGGACTGTTACTTTGGGAAGGGTACAGCAAGTGTGTTTTTGCACTTATTCACTGAAATCAATTTTCCCTAACTCAAGATTCAGTGACAAAGTATCAGGGAAACATGTATTATCTTAGGGTTGAAAACAACATTAGCTGGGGTCAGTTGCTCTCACTAGATTTGGATATAATTATTGAAAAAGAATGGATTGAAATATCAAATGTATCAGCTCATTGCTCTGAAAAATTGGACTTAAGGAAGAAAGATCAGGCACTTTGTCTTGGTTACTTTTCTGTCATTGCTGGGACAAGATACCTGACGCCCAAAATTAAGGAAGGAAAGGTTTACTACGCTTACAGTTTGTGGAGGTTTCAGTCCGTATTTGGCAGATTACAAGGCAGAGTGGCACATGGCAGAGGGCTAGGGCTCAGGGTGGCAGACTACAGCAAAAGCAACATGCACACACCCCAGCGAGGAATAGTCAAAAGCACCCTCTTCCTCTCCGTTACATATGCAAACTATCCACCCCAGGGTGGGTGTAGCTCTCACACCTCAATCAACTCTAAAAGCCTGCCCCATGGCCGAATGAGGCTTTGGGGGGACACACAGACAAACCATAACACACTTATTCACCTTTCCTGTACAAATTACATTTGTGGGTAACTGTTAAGGAAAACCAGGTCTGGTGGCATACACCTATGATCCCAGTATTCTAGGGAGGCTAGGCAAAAGGATTGCCAGGTCAAAGCCAGCCTGGGCACCATAGGGAGACTGTCAAAAAGAAAAAGGAAGAAGTGTAGAGTTAGAATTCTCTCACTGAGTTGCCCAGGCAAGTCTCAAGCTTAAAATCCTCTTGTCTCAGCCTCCCAAGAGTGTATTCCACCAAGCCCAGCTAGAAAATGTTCTTTTTATAAAATAATTACAGCTAGTGCATAAAGAATACATGATGTGCATTATTAATAAACAGCAGAGTATAAATGGAAAGATGTGTGATTTAATATCTTTTTATAGAAGAAGCAGCTCTGACATGGATTAGATACCCATGAAGTAGTTTCGGGGTATTTATGGGTTTAACAGAACTAGGGATCAAAGGCAGCACCTTGTGCACGCTGGACAAGCAGGCCTTAGACACAGCTGCGCCTGCAGCTGTAAACCATTTCAAAGAAATGTACCTGCTATTTTTTTTTTAACTTAGATTTTTCTCAAGAAGTTTTTGAAGTGTCGGGGCTCATGGATTTGACTTTCATTTATTTTAGTGTACTTTTCTTTTTGCATTTCATGATCTAGAATTAAATATTTTAGATCTTAAAAAGATACACCAATTCACAGAATTTTAATATTTTTTCTTAAAGGCTGAATCATGTCAGGGAGATTTAAGTACCTTGGCCAGTGTGGTTACGTCATTAGCAAATCTTGGAAAGACGGAAGAGCTTTCTCAAAATAGTAACGACGTGCCTGTGATGGAAAGTTTAAACAATGGCAGTACATCTTTGGGCGAATGTCATCAAGAAATGCAGACCAGCGGTGATGTCTCAAGGTGAGATCCACTCTGATAAGTGTTCTTTAGTATGTGTATTGGAATATTTTTGTATTAAGTACTATTTACAGAAGTTTCAGGAAACAAATATTTAAAAATTAAGGCATAGTAAGCTGTAACTGAAAGACCATATGTAGTATAAAATACTGTATCCAACAGGTTAGATTTTAAATAGCAAGAACAGTAAGTAAATATTGTAAAATCAGAAATGTCATCTTGGAAAAAGTTTAGAAATTTTCTCCCTCATACATGATAATTTCAGTGTGACATTTCCAATATTTTAGTCACCAGTTTTTATTTTCTGTGTGTAGAGAAAAACATTTTCTTGCCAGACAGTCATGTTGACAAACTCCACACTAATTTCTATTAATGAAAATAAAGATAAAAGAGCTAGTGGAATTAATGATAGTTTTAAGTTACTCTTAAAGAAAGTACTCCTGGCATGCTTTCATTTTGTCAATATTTTTAGGATACTAACCACTTACCAGTCCAGTTAAGTGCAGGATGACCAAAAGTTGCATATTTTTTCATTAATTTTTGTGATATAACAGGAAATGTGAAAACAATTTTATCAAATGTATGCAATACAAGAATTGACTGGTTGAAGTGGCACCTGCCTGTGTGTCACAGACTGTTGAGTGGTTGAATGAATTTCTCTAGACTTTTCTCACTCGTTCACGATCTAAGATACTGAGTATTGCCCTGAGGGTGGAACTCAGTGGTAGAGCGCTTACCTAGCAGGCAGGATGCTCTGGGCTGGACCTGCAGCACCACAAAATAAGAAAATGTTGAATAGATTGCATTTAAGCACTACAGTGAATACTCCGCTGAGCATGAGACATGAGATTTAAGGAATTCTAGAAGGCAGAGATACCACTGAAAAATATGCAGAGCTATCTTGGATAGTTATTTGTTAACATTGGTTAATTATCATCCTAATCTCAAATCTTAGCAGCTTACATTTAGTTGTATAACCAAAAGTACTATCTGAATGTGTAAGTGAAGACTCAGCTTTGCACTGTGCTCAGTACAGTTATCAACGTAAGTTCTTACTCTCATTCTTCCCAAATAACTTCTGTGTATAAAATAAAGCATGAGAGTTTTTCTTTCTCTTAAATGTATAAGATTATGGTTTTTGAGACAGAGTCTCACTATGTAGTTCAGGCTGGCCTCAAACTTGGGGCAGTGCTGGGATTATAGGTGTGCACCACCATGCCTGGCAAGATTTTTTTTAAATCCTTTGATTCTTTGGTAATGTGCAGTTTAATTTGATTTTTGGAGGGACTCATAGAAGTCATTGAAATAGTATGGAGTGATACCACGCAGTTCTGTTTTCTGAAGAGCTGTGTGCGGATGGCTTTCTGCTTGTTGAGTGGGGCGGGGATTAAACCCAGGCCTTGCACATCTGTCGATGCATTCTATCCCAGAGCTCCACTTACAGTCCTATTTTCTAAATAATTTTTTAGTTTTAAATTTTAATTTCAGGGTTTTGTATAGAATTTCAATTTTACTGCTGGAGATTGGCCACACTCACAGCCTCTGATGTCTCCTCGCAGGGCATTTGATACCCTTGCAAAAGCGCTGAACCCCGGAGAGAGCAGTAGCTGTCACCGCTCAGAGGAGGGCATGGAAGGAGGTGGACACCTGACTGTGGGCGAGGCCAGCACCAGTTACGCCGAGAAAGAGGGGCCGCTTCTCAGCGATTCGCATGTAGCTTTCAGGGTATTTCTATAGATTTCTACAGCTTTTATATAACATTGTTTGATTTTAATCTGCCTTTCAAAAGTCCATTTTTTGTGTTATTCAAGTCAGAAATGTCCCTGGTGGAATATCAGGACCGGAACCAATACGCACACATCTGGCTGTGGAAGATGACAGCTGCCTAAAGCACCCTTGTAAGAGGCAGTTGTAGTAGCCCTGAAGGAGTGAGCTTTAGAACTGTCAGCAGGGTTTCTCACGTGAAGCCTTGGCTTTCCTGGTGTTGAGTGCACTGCTTTTGTTCAGTGAGGAGTGGCTGCTGCTTTAGTGTAAATCAGTGTCTAAGAGGGTGATGTTTTTACTTTTGCCATCATAATGACAGAGAACTGCATTCCTTATGTATCATCCTAATTAGCTTTCAGCCTTAGCACAGTAAAGTACAAATTAGTACATTTCAACTTATAGCTTTTAACATTTTTTACTCTTTTTGGGGTGGGGGTCAGAGTCTCGCTGTGTAGTTCTGGCTGGTCCTGAACTCACTAAGTAGCTCTCCTTGGCTGGCCTTGAACTCTCAGCAATCCTCCTGCCTCAGCCTTCCAAGTGCTGGTACTACAGGCATGGCCACTACATCAGGCTTTTTTACCATTTTGAAGGAGGTATATTATATAATATTTATAATTTATTTTTTTCCCTAAATACATTTTTATAATGGGAACAATACATCAATGCATGTAGAAGACTAAAAAGATCACTTTTTTGGAGGCAGGATCTCACTCTGTAGTTCATACTGACCTTCAGCTTCACTATATAGCCCAGGCTGGCCTTGTACTCCCAGCAATCCTCCTGCCTCAGCCTCCCAAGTACTGGAATTGCTGGCATGTGCCGTCACACCTGGCTTAAAAAGATCAATTTATAGTATTTGATTAAGATCCTGCTTTTTGACTTCTTCCACTTTCCTCACATTGTGTCTTTGCTCTGCCAGTTACGGGTCCTGTTACCCAGTGGTGTGCAAAGTTCTTGAATGTGTGTATGTGATTTCACTTAGCAAAATGTAGCTGTTCTGGAACATCTAAGGGTCATTGTGTGTAATTTCACTATGGAGTACAGTTTCCAAAGATTTCTTAATAAAAAAATGTGCATTTATCAGGTATATCTATATATATCCAGTAGAAATAACGAACATAAAATAAATGTAATGTTGGCCAGGCATGTGGTGACACATAGCTCTAATCCCAGCATTCTGGGAGGCTGAGGCAGAGGATCGTAATTTCAAGCTCAGCTGGGGCAACTCAGCAACTTTGTGAGACCCTGTCTCAAAATAGAAAATGAACAAAAGGCTTGGGGTGTACCTCAGGGCAAAAGTCTGGATTCAGTCCTCAGTACTGACAGGTAGGTAGGTAAGGTAGGTGGGTTGATCATTGAGCCAACTGCATATAATAATTTCTTGTTTGTAAAAGTCAATTTGATAGAATAGGCATTAACAAAAGTCATCATGGCTTAAATAATAATTGCTATAATTTCATATAGTCGATTATCAGTGAATCAAATTTCATGTGAAACTTTACTAAAGTAAAGTAAAGTAAAGTAAAACTTTACTGACATAGAGAAATTAGAAATATTTTATCTGGGATTGGGAATGTATAATTCAGTGGTAGAGCACTTACCTAGCATGCACAAGGCCTTGATGTTTGATCCCCAACACTGCAAAAAAAACAGAAATTATCTGGTCTGTACAAGAAAAGTTTTCATGAGTGTCATGAAAAATTAAGAGACTAATCAGTGTCATCTCTAAAATTTAGAGTAGGGTCTATCGACAGGGATGTAGCAAGTCAAGGAATTTTTTTCCCGTTGTTCTTTCTTCTCCAAAGGAAAGGTGTTCTTTTGTTGTCTTAGCTGTATTTTCTGCCTTGGCTGTCAGTGGAGGGAAGGGTAAAATGAGACAAGTATATGAAGGGCCCAGTGCAAAGAAAAAGGCCAGAGGACTTAGTTGTTCACTTTTTGACTTTGATGTTGTTCCTCAGAATTTTGATACCCGAAAAAAGTGTTTTGAAGAGATTAATTAGGCAAATTAGAACTTCGCTTTTACTCTCTAGAGTTGACTTTTTCCCGTTCCTTCTGTAACTTCTTATATCTTAGGTATAAGATGCCATCCTGAGAGCACTCTGCAGTATTTGCTCTGAGCAGGACACTTCTTTGATCTGTTTACAGTCCCAAAACTAGGAGGTTTATTTGTGAGTGAGTTCCCTGCCTAGTTCCTAGTACCTGGCGGTTTTGTGGTTGCTTTTCTGAGTTTCCTGATCAGCAGTTCCGAGGCCTGACATCCGCTGTCAGGAGGTCCAGCCACTGCTGTCCTCATTGCTGAGCTGGACAGCATCGTTCTTCTCACACGTTTTTACCAGAGTGGAGTTCGCAGCCTGTTTTCACACACTCTTTCACACAAGCCTTAATGCATTCTTTTGGGGAGGTTAAAACATTCTCCTTTGGTAGGGGAAGAAAGATTTTCAGTGTCTTCTTCAGAACAACTCTAGGTAATAAGGAGAAATAATCTAATAATGAAGCTAGAATTGTGAAGAGTCTAGAACAGTATAACATTTTTTATTAAAAGAATTTTACCTGTTTCTCTTGCTTCTTACAATTCTCTTACAATTGTAATCAAGGTACATAGTATTCTCATTTTAAAAGTAAGTATGTGAGATGGAAATGAGGTGATTTCCAGCCAGCTATGATGGCGCACACCTGTATCCCAGCACTCGGGAGACTGAGGCAGGAGGATTGCTGCAAGTTCAAGGCCAGCTGGAAGTACATGGTGAGACCTTGTCTCAAAACTCAAAAAAAAAAAAAAAAAAAGTGATTTGCAAAACTGTCCTCTTCGTGTTTAGTATCTCAGTATTAGAATCCCAGTCTTCTTAGTCACCTGTATTTGAAACTTGAGAGTCCTCTTCAATCTCCCCATGTCTCACTCCCCTCCTTTCAATTTGTTTTTTGAGACAGGGTCTCAGTGTGTAGTTCAGGCTAGCCTTGAACTCAGTGTATGGCCCTGGCAGGCCTTGAACTTGCTGCCATTGTTCTAGCTCTGGCTTCCGAGTGCTGAAATCATAGGCATGTGCCACCATGCCTGGCCTCCTCTCCTTTAGTCATTCTGTTTCTTTAATTTCTCCATTTTGGTTTTATTTCCATTGGCATGTTTTAGGTCTCTTAAAATTTGTAACTTACAGTGTTGAAATAATATCTTTACTTTCAGTTCATCTGCTGTATCTTGTCCTATGCACTAGTACCAGTGTGATACTTGTTAAAAATCACTCTAAATATGTCACTTGACTATTTCGCTTGCCTAGCATGTGCAGACCCCTGAGTTTGATCCCCTGAACTGCTAAAAAAAATTTCTTTAAATAAATAATAAAAGCCTTCCTGTTGCCTGTGTGTGCTTAAGTCCAGTCTCTATAACATGACTTGTTAGGGCCCTCCACCTTCTGATCCAACACCCGTTGCTTCCCACAAATCATATTCCCTTTCTTAACCTTGTTTTTTTTTTTTTTTTTGAGACAGAGTCTCATTACATAGTTCAGGCTGGCTTCAACCTTGTGATCCTCCTGCCTCAGTCTCCTCAGTGGCAGGATTATAGGTGTCAGCCAGGATACCTGGCATCTTAGCCACTTCTCTAGCTAGTTTCATTCTGTTCCTCCATCAAGACAGCAGCACACGTATTTCTCTGTAAATGGTTGTTGAGTAAATGATTTAGGGTCAGACAAATAAAAAGTTAGAAGTAGCAGAACCCAGACACCCTAACCTAAGTCAGATGATTTTCTGAAAGTTACATTGTACAGACGGTTAGCAAAATGCTGTGCAGAAACTGCTAGAAAAGTAATCATAAAAGCAACTAATCAAAAAGGCAAGTTCTAAAATAGGTTGGTCAGGCTTAGGTCTTATTAATACTCTTTTTAAAAAATCAACTCAAGTTATTAAATATTTTTATACTTTGAAAAATATGCATTGTTTATTTTATAAGCCTGACGGTCATAGGTATTCTTGAGTGGCTGTAACATCCTTGCAGTAGAAACTGGGCTTCCATGTATGTATGAGGAAAGACGTGTATCTTTGTAGTTCAGAGACTTGTGAAGTGGACTCATTTTCTTTGGCCAGGTTAACTTTCTGATGTACTGTAATGCTAGAGGCGTGTAAAGTATATAAAATATAAACTGAAACATTTCCTTTTCTAAAATAAAATAACATGACAGAACAGTTTCCTTAGTGTACTTTGCGGATGATTTCACTTTTATAATTAAAGCAATAGAAGGTTTTCATTGAACACCACTGTTGTGTAAATTAAAGGCAGTGTATTCAAGTTTTACATACAGTATTACAAGTATTTTGATGCTTATAGCCAACTTTAGTAGAGGGTATTTTTTTCTTTTTCTTTTTTTTTTCCGGAGACAAGATCTTGCTGTGTAGTTCATATTGGCCTTGAACTCACTATGTGACCCAGGCTGACCTCCAACTTGGGGCAGTCCTCCTGCCTCAGCCTCCCTAGTGCTGGGATCGCAGGCATGTGCTACCATGCCCAGCAGTAGAGGGCATTCTTCATTGTTGCTTTTCATTTTATTTATTCCTCTTCCATAAAACTAGTATTTTTGGCAATTACCCTAAATTTTTAGGCTTGTTTCCCCATTCACCTGGAGCAATTTTGAGAAGGTATAATAGTTTTAAATTTTTTAATATATATACTCATGCAGAAACAGTTGTATCCTAAGAATATGCTTAAAATATTTAATAATTGCTTTGTTTCCTTAAGGATTGTGCTAGTTCTATTACCAATAAACATTTTATGAACATTTAAAAAATTTTCTTCTCAGGGCAAGCTAGGAATATAGTTCAGTGCCGAATGCCTGCTTGGCACATACAAGGTCCTGGATTCCTTCTGCATACCACACACAAAGGTTTTTTTTTTTTTCCTGTTACCTGGGGCTTTAACCCTTAATTGCCCTGTTGGTTTACTATGTGATGCTATTAATAAATAGGTAAAACATTCATACCTAACATTGAACAAAGGCAGTGGTGTTTTTTACATTTTGTTTAACATTTCTAGAGAACGCATCATTTTGATGAAAAATTTGCTCTGTTTGGTGTCATACACCTTTGAGAATCCAGTGGGAGCTATATATATGTTGCCAAAATACACATCCACCTACCACACCCCAGCGGTAACCACTGTGAGCCGTGTGTGGCATGTTCCTTCCGTCCTTTCTGTGTACATATCTGCGTGTGCCCGTAAATGTACTCTTGAACATCTCCAAGGTGTTCAGCATAGAGTGTTCTTTTCTGATGATGATAGCTTGGGTCTTTGTCAGCATTCACGCTCATTCACAGTGGGAAGCAAAGCTACAGTGGGCACTTTATGGGTGCTTCCTGCGCGTATACAACTATTGTTCTGGAGTAGTTCAGAAGTAGTTTTACAAGCTTAGAGTCTCTTATCTGAAATGCTTGGGAACAGAAATGTTTCCAGTTTCAGTTTTTTCAGATTTTGGGATATTCACAGAAACTTTACCAGTTCATATCCCAAATCTGAAAATCTGAAAAGCTCTAAGATCTGAAACATGTTAAGTGTTAGTGTCCCAAATGTTTCAGATTTCAGTGTTCAATTAGGGGCGCTCACCCTGCATTGTGGTGCAGGATGTGCTGAGGGTCCAGGTCTGGTTGCTAACTCAGATTGCCCTCCAGCTTAGCTCTTGTGGTAGTGGGTGCTTATTCTCCGTAGCTCAATGTTGTGGATCATTCCCATCATTCCATAATAGAACAAGTATTTCTCACACATTTTCTTTATGGCAGTAAGAATTGTGTTTAACAAGACTTTCAGAAGTGGTTTAAAAATATTGTGATGTCGGTTATTTTTTTTGCAACGGCAGTGGGATATTTAAAACAGCCACATGGAGGTCCTCAGTGCAAGCCCATGAGGGGCTTGTCTCCAGGTATATTTCGGTGTTATCTGTAGAGTAGTTTTTAAATTACTTTTTAAGTCAGTGTCAGTTTATTTAAATAGAGAGATTTTGTGGAGACCATACTCTGAAAAATTGAAGAAGTGGCAGTGCTGAACACAAATTCTTATGTTCTTGTTGTGCTGAATGCAAGCCACATCTGGACCGTTTTTCTGGGCTTGTGCCCTTGTCAGTTGGCATTGGTAAACCCGTTTCACCCCTTACTCTTCCAGCCCTGCAAGCATTTGAATTCATTAACCCTGTGATCTCAAGTGAAAGGAGCTTTAGGCACATACAATTGCTCCTTACACTGCACTTGCTGTGCACCGTTGTTACGAGGGAAGGAGGGAAGGAAAAGCACATTGGTAGGCCAGACCAAGGTAGGAAGGAGCTTTTAAAAATAAACCAGAACGTCATGGTTGATGTTTATTGAAATTCTGCTTCTCTGAAGATTGTTGTCAGAAACTGATCTACTCATTTATTCTAAGCTGTTAGCTGTAAAATCCAGGTACTTGTTTTGTTGCAAGATTAGCCTCTTTTTGTGAATGTGCTAGACTCATTGATGTGTTATGTTTACATTCAACTTTTTCAAAGAATTGCTAACTTAGAGCGTGACGTCACAAGATGATTTACCGGCATCCCTGTTCACACTAGCTCACCATGCCTTCTCCTACGCCCGAGTACCTGAATGTACACTACATTGGGGAGTCTGCCTCCAGGCTGCTGTTCCTATCAATGCACTGGGCGCTTTCCATCCCTTCTTTCCAGGCGCTAGGGTGAGTGTTTTTAAGTCCTTGAATGTAAATGTGACTTTGTAACAAATGTACATTAAGCAAGAATTTCTATTTTGGAAGGATTTTATTAAAGGAGAAAAAAAGTGTACTGTAACTTTAAATTGTATCATTTATGTGACAAATTGGGGCAGCGAAGTACAATTTCTGTATATTATTTTGGTGTGTTGGAGCCTGGTTCCTCATGGTTTGCCTGGAATCTAAGTGGAGTGGGTAGCTTATGCCCAGCATTGGAAACAGCCAGGCGCAGAAAGGCTGGAGGCATGTCTACTTCTCCCACCACACACTCTGAACTTCCATCCAGGTGTGTTACAAAGGCTCTGAAATTTGTTTACAGCAGTTATGTGTAAAAATAGATATAATCGTTTTCCATTCATGTGTTTACCTCTCTCAAAAAAGATGGAAAATGTAAAATCTTCACTGGGCATGAAGGTGGTGCACACCTGTAATCCCAGCACTCAGAAGGCTGAGGCAGGGGGATTGCCCCAAGTTCAAGGTTAGCCTGAACTATATAGTGAGACCATGCCTCAACCACCCCACACGCGCGCGCGCAAAGAAAGAAAATGTAAAACCTCCATACTATCACTTGTGATCTAGAGATTTAGGCTTACCACTAAAGAACAATCAATATTCCATTCTTGAATAATTAGGTGAAATGGAACATGGTGTACTATAAGGAATCTTAAGGTTTTTGTTTTGTGTGTGTGTGCGTGTCTGTGTATGTGTGCTGGGAATTGAACTTGGGACTTTACACTTGCCAGGCAAGTGCTATACCATTGCACTGTGTCCCTGGCCAGAATCTTAAGTTCTTTCAAAGTTTGTCAAACATATTTAGATTGCTTTGCAGTAACTAGTACAGTGGTGGCAAACCTGTGGTATGTGTATTGTGTTTTTAAGTCAAAAGATGTTAATGTATGAGTTATTTTCTAAACTAAAACCTCAGTATTCAGGTTTAATTGCACTTCATGATACGTGGGTTTGGATTGCAGTTTGGGCACTCAGTCTTTTAAAACATTCACCATCACTGAGCCTAGGAGATGAAAAAGTGAGACAGTGGAAAAAGTTAAGCCCATAATTTTATTCTAGTCCCAGAACCGTGCTCATGACTCTGATTTTATAAGTAATTGGCTCTCATAGCCTATATATCAGTTTCCCCATTTATCATGAAAATCACTACTTATCCCTATGCCTAGAGAATATTTTGAATATGAATTGCAAATCTTGAAGCTAAGAGACATTTAATATTATGATGTGGTTGCTAGTCAGTGTTAGATATTTCCCACGTTAAATCACATACTTAAATATACAGTTCCATAGACTACAAATCTGATTCAGAATGGTTAACCTTTCAAACACTCCTTAGTCCTTTTTTGCAAAATAGCATTCAACTTTCAAAACTTTCCCAGTTCCTTTCCTTTTTTTGTTTTTTGTTTTGTTTTGTTTTGTTTTTGTTTTTTGAGACAGGGTCTTGCCTATGTAGTTCAGGCTGGTCTTGAATTCATTGTGTAGCCCAGGCTGGCATCAAACTCATGGCAATCCTTTTTTCTCAGCCTCCCACTGGCTGGGGTTATAGGCATGTGCCACCACATCTGGCTTTTTTAGAAAAAGTAAAATACAACGTAAAATTTTACATGTTAGCATTTTACTACTTTAAAAGCATGAAGTGTAGTTTACTAAGTTTGTCTAGTATACCTGGATCAAGAAAGCAAACTGGTGATATTTTTCATAATAGATTATCAATCATTATAGTAAAACAACAGGAGAAAGGAATTTGAGGTATAATTTGAACTCTTTGAGTTCAAATAGTCGTAACACCATGATTCTAAATACTTCTGTTGAGTACGGTTATCCTATATAAATACTCCAGATGTTGAGGAAACCAAAAATAGCGCCTGAGGTTTGTGGCTATAGGACAACCACTTTGCCCTGTGACCTCTGTGGGAAGTTGGTTTCAGCTGTGGGAACCTTTATAATTAGAATAACTACTGAGCTAGCAACCACAGCTATTAACTGGTACCTAAACTGATACTTCTTATCCCTGAATAGATCATTCGTATGGCTTGAGAGTAGTAGAGCACTTGCCTAGCCTTCACAGGGGCCCAGGCTCCATCCCAGCAGCAGTAACAACAAAAATGTACATCGTCATTGGTTTAGTTTTCCTAACAAGAAAAAAACTGAGGGCTGGGAATTTAGCTCAGCGGCACAGCGCCTGCCTGGCAAGCGCAAAGTTGTGAGTTCAATTCCCGGTACCGGAACAAAACAAAACAAAACAAAACAAAACAAAACAAGAAAAAAACTGAGAGCACACACACCTTTACCATCCAGTGTTTTACTTTCTAGGTTGTGTAAGGATCATAAAAACAGATGGGTTCAAATTTTGGCTTTCTTCACCTGCTGATTTTGTGTCTTTGGATCAGTTACTTAAATGAGGCTAAGTTCCCACATCTGCAGATTAGGGCTGAAAGCCTTACTTGCGTGCTGTGCCTTTGTGTGAGGGTGTGAATGTGCATTTAACCCCGGGTCTGGCACAGAGTGAAGAAGTGATGGTCATTTTCCTTCGTGCTGCTTCCTCCTCTTAGTATCCTTCTCTTTAAAAGACTTACTCTCTTCTCCTAAAGTAATGACCTTTTGAAAAAAAAGACATAGCTACTTTTACATAGTATGAGAGTTTCTGGTTTTTGAGTAAAAGCATAGAGAGCTACCATTGCGTAGTTGATTTCTGCTGTTAGTGTCATAGCATTTCCTCTGTAATCGGAAGCTTATTCCTCAGTTTGACCCTTTGCCCTGCGCTGGCACTCTCTGCGGTCACTCTGGTCTCTATTATTTTCCTTTCCTGTGCTCACTGGTCGATTCACTTGGGTAGCTGTTTCCTCTTTTTAAAGCCTCAGAAGTAGAAGTTAAGATTAAAACTGGTTTGTTTTTATCTTTTTCTCATCCTGAAGTGTAGAACTACAGAGTAAGAGCTCATTTTCCAGAAGTAACTGACCTCATGTTAACAGTTTGGTATTCTTTTAGATTTTTTCCATGCTGTATTTATTAAAACGTGCATCTGTACATCTTCTTTCTCTTGCTTTTTTATTATCATGTAGGTATTAGGGATATCTTTCTGTATCAGCAGATGTAAGTTAGTTTATCCTAGTGTGTTTTTGTTTTTGGAGACAGGTCTCATTAAGTTGCCCAGGCTGAACTTGGACTCATGCTCCTCCTGCCTCAGTACCCGAGAGTGCGGTGGTGACAAGCCTGTGCCTCCACACCCTGCCTGACCTTCCATATTTTCCTTAATGGCTCCCCGCTGTTCCGTCTTACGGGCTTATGCTAATTTATTTACGTATGCCTTATCAGTAGACATTGGGGTTGTTGCCAGTTTTGTTATTACATTGTCACTCTTAAATTGGGAATGTTGTTAGCCTTGTATGAAGTACATTCTATTCTTTAATAAAATTAATATCATAAAGGTTAAGATTCTAACTGAATGATTTCTGTTAAACACACTGATTACCTTAATTTTAAAGGTATGTCAAGCAGAAAAAACTGGCCAGTTGCGGTGGTACACATCTGTAATTACAGCACCCTGGGAGGCCAATGCAGGATTGCAGGTTTGAGCCTAGCCCAGGCAATTTAGTGACTTAGCTGAGTTTTGAGACCCTCTCTCAAAATTACAAAAAATTTTACAGAAAGGGTTGAGGGTAGTTCAGTGTGAAGGCCCTGGGTTCATTTCCCAGTGCTGGGGGGAAAAGAGAAGAAAATTTAAGTACCATTCATCAGGATGTGCATATTTCCTGTTAGGATGTTCTGAGCAGTTTAAATTTCTTTTAAGAAAGGGAAGGAAGCTTACTCTGTCATCTAAATAGGCACATAGGTCTGGCTGAAGACAGAGAGCCCTGTCCGTGTGCTCTCTGCTGCCTGCTCCGTCTCCCCAGGTCAGAAGGCGCTGCTGAGTTTCCCGTGTGCTGCTCACCGTGCCGGTCACTGACGTGCAGACATGTGTAAGGAAGGCTTTGCCTTCTGTGAGGATTTAGTCTATGGGGGAAGCAGATCCAAACCGATAAATTAGGCTGCCGTGTAAGATACAAAATGCAAACGTCCAGGCAGCACCAAAGGGGCAGTGGAGAGAGGAATGTTGTGAGAGAACCCAAGCTTCCTGGAGGGGAGGCCAGGTTTATTACCTAGGAAAAGCAGGCAGGGAAGAGTGTTCTGAGGTGGTGGGAGAGGATTTAATAATCCGCTCAAAAGATTCTGACACACCTGTTCCGTAACGTTTTAATTCCCCCATCTTTCTTCACTCAGCTGACTCAGATGTCACTGCCTCAAGTGGCCTCTCCTCCTACCGCAAATGGCCATCTCTAACCACCTCATCTGAACCTCCGTTTTCTTTTTTTGGCAGCAGGAATCAAACTCAGGACCTCACGCTTGCCAGGCAGGTGCTGTGCCACTGAGCTGTATTCCCAGCCTCTCTCCTACTTTATAGCAATATCAAATTTTTATTACCTAAAACTTACATGTATACAGTTGTTAAATTTTCCTTCTTTTTCATGAAGCAGACTTAATTCCTCTCACTAACTGCTATTTCCCCAGCGCCTTGAAGAGTGTCTGTCATATGGCATGGCATGTTTGAGTAATTATTTTCAATTGTTTTTGTTTTTTTTGAGACAGGGTCTTGCCATGTAGCTCTGGCAAGCCTTGATCTCACTAAGTATCCCAGGCTGGCCTCGAACTTGTAACAATCCTGCCTCAGCTTCCTGAGTGCTGGGATTACAGGCACGCACCAGCACACCCAGCTCAATATATTTTTATTTTAGTTGATTCGCAGTAATTGTACATACCTACAGGGTGCATACAGTGTAATGATCAGATAAGGCTAGTCTGTGCCCTCAGATACATACCATACAATGTCCTGAAACATTTAGAACCCTTTCTACTGCTTTGAAATAATAATTGTCCACTGCAGTATCGCTGCTCTGCTGTAGAGCATGGGAAGTTACTCCTCTCCCGCTGTACCCCCTGGTACGCACTAAACCTCCTCCCTTTATCCTCCACCACCCACACCCTTTGAAGCTCTGGGAACAGCTCTTCAGCTTTCTACTCCTTTAGGTCCACTTCTTGCAGCCGGGTGTCATGGGGCACGCCTGTAATGTCAGCACTTGAAGCTGAGGCAGGAGGATTGCCATGAGTTAGTTCAAAGCCATCCTGGGCTACATAGTGAGACCCAGTCTCAAAAAGAGCAAACAAATGGAAGGTCCACTCTTTGGCTTCCACATGCCCCTCTCAGTAATGCCAAGCAAGATGAGGTCATTTAGTGTCTGTGTTTTATGTAGTTACACAGCCTGAGAGTTGGGAAGCTTACTGTTTTTGTTCTCTTACTGCTGAGTATTTATTATTCAGAAATTCAGGAAAGGGCTTTTGGCCTTTCTTACCTCTTGTTCATTACAGTAAAATTGTCTGAAATACAGAAAGAACCATTTCTCCCACTATATTGATTGCTTACCTACTGCCAACTAATCCTAACAGTTCTTTTCTTAAAAAAAATGTACTTCAGAGCAAAGGAAAGTAATGAAGTTTTTTATGTCTGCTTTTGCCTTTTAAAAATCTTTATTTGAACTGTTCCCATGAAATAGCTTAAAGTCTTAACTTTTTAGTTTAAAATGTTACTTGCAGTTTTTAGAAATCAGCTGGTTGATAATGATCTACTTAGCATTTAAGTTTCAGAGCACATTTCATCGATTGCTGGCAGCTGTACCAAACAGAATTATTGAATTATTTATACCCATGTGGTCTTTCTAAAAGTACTTTTACTTCAGTAATACTGTACTTTGAAGTGCATAGATCAGGTGTAAAGTTTACTTCAATAACTCCTCGTTTATGCTTTGTGTTGGTTTTTTAATAGGCAAGAAAACAGCATATCACTGGTGAAAGCTTACTGGAATGAACTCTTTACTCTTGGTCTTGCCCAGTGCTGGCAAGTGATGAATGTAGCGACCATATTAGCAACCTTTGTCAACTGTCTCCACGGCAGCCTTCAACAAGGTAAAAATTACCTTCCTCACCTTTTCCAGGATGCAGGAGGAGGCATCATCTTTATGAAATGGTCTGATCAGTTACATGTCCTGATCAGTTACATGTCCTGATTATTGTATTTGTTTACATACCAGTGGTCTTTCTACTTCAGATAATTTTTACATTTTAATAAATTTGTGAATCTCCCAAAAATATTTTTAAGTGAGAATACAACAAAATTCAAACTAGTATGTTTGAGTCTGGCAAGCTTAGTTTTCTCTTGCTAAAACAACACCTGGGGCTGGGTTATTGCTAAAGAAAGAGATTTCTTTTGGCTCACGGTTTAGGAAGTAGAAGGGCCCAGTTTCAGGACCTGCTCGGCCTCTGATTAGAGCCTGGTGGTGGGAGAGAGGCAGGGAAGCCAGGCTTGCTTATGTAACGGCTGCTCTCCAGAAAGCCATGAGTCCCTGTGAACGGCCTCACCTACGATTACCACTGCTTTGCTGCGGGATTTCACTGTGTGCCTGGGTGGGGGCAGACCCTGTCTGGAACGCACCTTGGGTGATTTCTGATGAGGCACTTTGGTACAGGAACCTGAGAATTCAAGGCTAACTTGTACAGAGGTGAAGAGATATTTCAGATGTATACTTCTTGCCCCTTTTGAAGCTACTTTCATTTTAGCCCTTTGCATCTCGAGATAGACTGTGTTGTCTTTTGGCTAACCAGAACCATGTCACGCAGCAGTCTTCAGTCTTTTTCCTTTCCTGGATGCCATGATTAGATCTCACAGTCATTAAGGAAACAAGTAGTCACTGATTCAGAAGAGCTTGCCTTTTGTTGCTTTTTGAGCTCAGGAATAATTTATAAATTATGGACTACCTTTAGGTTCTTAGCATATTTCGTTCTTTGGGGTATTTTTGGTTTTTGGTTTTTGCAGTACTGTGGGTGGATCCCAGAGGCACTTTAGCATTGAACTACATCTCCAGCTTTTTTTTTTTTTTTTTAAATTTCTTATTTGGAGACAAGATTTTGGTTAGTTGCCCAGGCTGGCCTTGAATTTATAACCTTCTGCCTCAGCTTTCTCAGTAGCTGGCACTGCAAGCATGGGCTTCCAAGCCTGGCTATTTTAATTATTTTTAAATCATTGGCTGCTTCTTAGATTTAGGAACAGAAAAATCAACTTAAATTCTCTCTCATTAGAAGATCTAGTAGAGGGCAGCACCACGTTCCCCTCTTGTATATGGACTTATAGTCCTGATTCATTTCTCATCTACCTACAAGTTGCTGTGTAGCCCAATTTCAGGAAAGCTGTGGTTGACTAACTGTTAAAAGAGGTCCTTGTACTTATCTCACCACAGCAAATGAGAATATGTCTTGCAGGACTTTTTCTTTGATCTTGGCAGGGTTTGGTTTTTGGGTTTTTTTGTTTTGCAAAATGTTTTGATTATAGTAGTGTTGCTTTAAAAAGTGAAGATTTATTTCCAACCAGTATAAGTTTAAATAAAATCCTGTTACCAGAATTTGAGGCATTTGTACTCAAATGTTGGTCACTTTTCAGATGGTTGTCTGACGTCTTACCTTCTCAAAGGCGTATCTTGATACATTACCTTTAAGATTTTCTATATGAGCTTTTTGTGGAATGAACAATAGCTAAAGATTATTAGTTTCATCTGTAATTGAAGAGGTTCAAACTTTTAAACATTTATACATCAGCTTTATTCAAAATTGGAAGTTAGTGAGAAGGAAATATGTTAAATAGAAATAGTCACACATTTCAGATGAAAACTAAAATCATTTGTTTGTTTTTTAATTCAAGATAAAATGTCACCAGAAAGGAGGAAACTATTGATGGAGCACATCTTCAAACTGCAGGAGTTTTGTAACAGCATGGTTAAACTCTGCATTGATGGGTACGAATATGCCTACCTGAAGGCAATAGTACTCTTCAGTCCAGGTATGTGCTTTTACACCTTCTCCACTCCTACTTTTACTGCTGCCGCTGCTACTACTGCCACTTCTTCTTCTTCTTCTCTGTCTTCTTCTCTTCTTCTTGTAGTAAAGTTTCACATTTATTAAAGGTAGGAAAAAATCAGAAGGATGGGGGAAAATGGGCTCTGTAGAGCCAATTTGGGCTGAGTGAAAAGGGAGGAAAACGTGAAAATAAAAGTCCACGCTGTAGTGTAGGGTAGGCTGTCATGTATAAGGCCATCACGCCTGGCCTTATGCACATTTATTTCTTAATTAAAGCACAGTGTTAAGCCTGTGGAGAAATTAGAACTCTCATACATTCCTGGTAGGAATATTAAAATGGCACATTTGAATTGGATGAGGTGGCACAGGCCTGTAATCCCAGCATTCAGGAAGCTAAGGAAGAAGGATTGCCATGAGTTGAAGGGCAGCCTGACTTACACGGTGAGATCCTGTCCCTCAAAAACAATGGAGTGGTGCATTTGCCTTGGGAATGAGCTCAGTAGTTCTCCAACATGTTAAACAGAGCCACCACGTGATCCAGCAGTTCCATTCTCATCAGCTCAAGAGAAATGAAAGTGTGTATCTACACAAAATGATCCTGAATGTTCATGGCAGCATAATTCATGGTAGCCAAAATACAGAAACAGTGTAAATGTTCACTGACAAATGAACGAAGAAACCTAATGTGTACCCGTGGTGGGAACCCTTACTCAGCCGTGCTCCATGCCGTAAGATGACAGACTTTGAAAACTGCCAAGTGAAAGAAGCCAGTTACAGAGGAGCACGTTTGATTCCATTTACATGAAGTAAAGCCATGTAGACCAACTGAGAGACGTAAAGTATTGGACCAGTGCTTGCTAGGGTCTGAGGAGAAGAGCAGGTTGAGTGACTGCTCATCAGGACGGGGCTCCTGTGGAGTGGCAGAAACATTCTCAAATGAGTCTTGTGGTGGCTGTACAGCTTTATAAATATGCTAAAGCCATCAAGTGTGTGCTTTAGGTTAAGGATGTTAGACATCTGTATATGAAAAAAAGATGAAAATTCAGTGAAATAACGTTTTAGACTTGTATTTCCATTGCCACCTCAATGTTTGAATCCTTACGTATGTTTTTATCAAGTGCCCAAATGAGAAAATTACAGCTGCACTAAGGAGTTCAGTTTTCCAACAGCTTATTAGAGCCTCCAGCAAGTAGAACAGTCTCTTTCTTGCCCTTTTTTGGTTTTCACATATAGTGAAGTGATGGTAAGGGCTCCATGATCACACTCTGAACTAGAGACACTGACCATTCTCTTAGGTTCTGTGTTTTTTTTTTTTTTGTCTTTCTGAGACAAGGTCTCGCTGTGCAGGGTGGCGTAGAACTCACTTTGTAGCTCAGGCTGGTCTCGAACTCATAACAGTCCTCCTGCCTCAGCCTCCTAAGTGCTGGGATTAGGCGTGCTCTACCATGCCTAGCTGTGTGTTTTCATTTTTGATTTTTATTTTGGTTCTGAAGAAAGCACTGGCCTTCGGAGATGCCAGTGAGACAGTTAAAGCTCCTCTGTGCTGCTTCCTCTGCTGTCCCCACAAGTTAGTAACAGGGGTCTCTTCTCCTTTAAGCTGCTTGCGCTGCTGGATCTTGCATATGCTTGGAAGCTCTACCACTCTGGGTTGTTTTTTCTTTCTCCAGTATTGAGACTTGAACCTAGGGAGCCCTGCGCTGTATCCCCTGCCTTTTTCATTTTATTTTGAAACAGGATCTCACCAGGTGGCCCATGCTGGCCTCAGACCTACAGCCCTGCCTCAGCCTCCCAAATAGCTGGGGTTGCAGGCGCTGTCCAGTATCTCCATTTCATCATAAGCAGTTTTGTGCCTTCATGTTCCTTAGATGAAAATCAAAACATTGTTAGGCAAACTGGGTGTGGCGGTGCACGCCTGTAGTCCCAGCACTCGGGAGGCAGAGGCAGGAGGATCTTTGTGAGTTCGAGACCAGCCTGGGCTACAAAGTGAGCTCAAGGCCAGCCTGAACTGCACAGCAAGACCCTGTCTCAAAAAAAAAAAGACAAAAAAACCCCCAAAAACCATGAGGCATAGTTATTATAAACTCCTAATACTATCTTTCTGAAATGTTATAGTGACATTGAAATGCTTATAGATTTTCTTTATGCTGTAATTTTTTGATAAAAGTCATGATGTTCAAGTTCAGTAGTTTCATGAGTATGTTTTTACATGACTGTAGCAGTGTACTTTTCCCTATAAAAGTGTGTGCTTTTCCCTATAAAAGTATTGTATAGATTGTAATTTGCAAGTGTTTTATAGATTAAAAATACTTCTGTGGCCAGAGATAGTGGTGCATACCTATAATCCCAGCACTTTAGAGGCTGTGGCATGAGGATTGCCACAAGTTCAAGGCCAGCCTGGGTTACATAGTGAGTTCACAGCCAATCTGAACTACATAGTGAGACCCTGTCTCCAAAAAAAATGAAAACAGTAAACACTTCCGTAAAATCAGGCATGGGGCCTGTAATTGCAGCATCCTGAGTTTGAGGCCAGCCTGAGCAATTCAGTGAGGCCCTGTCTCAAAAAAGAGCTCGAGATGTAGCTCAAAGTGAAGGCTCCAAGTTCAATCCCTATAGTACCATACAAAAAAGGAAAACAGTAAAAACGATACATAATTTCAAAACAAGGTGATAGGAAATTAGCAATGGTTATTGAATTACGTATTGATATCTTCAAAGTAGTTGCTCAGATAACCAAATATAGGTATGTAAGATTGATCAAACAATTAAACATTATTGTTTTTGTGTTATTTATGTCCTTTTGTTATTTTGTTTTTGTTCTCTCTTTAAAATAAAAAATAATTTATGTTATATGTAAGGTTAAAAAAAGGGAGAAAGAGAAAGGGGAGGAAGGAAGGAAGGAAAAAAAGTGGGGGCACTTGTTTACCAGGCACAGTGGTGCTCACCTGTAACCGCAACACTGAGGAGTCTGAGGTGGGAGGATCGCAAGTTCAAGCCCAGCTTACACAGTTTAGTGACTCCTTGAGGCTGTCTCAAAGCAAAACATTAAAAGAGGTCTGGGAGTGTATAGCTTAATACAGAAGACTTGGGTTCAATCCCCAGTACTGCCAAAAAATAAATATAAAAAATTACCAAAATTCCACTATCTTTGGAATAGAGAGAAACTACTTTGGTAATACCCAGACGTCTTATTTTTTAAAATTAGATTTAAAATGTGTATGAGATAAAATAATTTCAAGTTTTTGAAATGCAGTGCTTGGTATATAGTAGGTGGCTCAATAAAAAGTTGTGGGGAATAATAGAGCTACACATGCTATTTCCTTATTTTGAGACAGTATCTTACTAAATTGCCCAGCTGGGCTTGAATTCAGGATCTTCCTTTCAGAATGCTGGAATTACAAGTGTTGCCAGCCATACCCATCTAAGAGTTCCTTTTGGAGTGGGACAGGTGTTGGCTTTTGTTTTGTTTTGTTTTCAGATAGGTTCTCACTTCATAGTTCAGGCTGGCCTTGAGCGCGTGGCAATCCTCCTGCCTCAGCACTGGTGTTACAGGCGTGCACATCAGACCAGGCCAGGAACTTTTTTAACTGAACTGTTTACTCCTATTTCTCGTGTCTGCTTTCCATGTCTTACTAAATGAGTGTTCAGAAGCAGGGTAACAGTGCATGCTTTAATGTTTCAGATCATCCAGGCCTAGAAAATATGGAACAGATCGAAAAATTTCAGGAAAAAGCTTATGTGGAATTCCAAGATTATATAACCAGAACATATCCAGATGACACCTACAGGTATCTAGAAGTTAAATTGTGTCGATTTAAGTTCATTCAAAATTTTTGTGAAGGGGCTGGGGATTTAGCTCAGCGGCAAAGCGCCTGCCTGGCAAGCGCAAGGTCGTGAGTTCGGTTCCCGGTACCGGAGAAAAACCAAAACCAAAAAAAAAAAAAAAAAATTTTTGTGAATTAAGTCTTTCACTATTTTTCCATTTTCAGAAGAGTTAAATGTTTTAGTCAAGCTTGACCTTCAGATAGCTAATGCTGTTGAAAATAGTGTAGCTGAAGATGTAACTCAATTAGAGTGCTTGCCTGGCATGTGCAAGGCCCTGGGTGGCTGCCCAGCACCACCAAATCCATCTATCTATCCGTCAGTCCCCACAAGAGTGCAGGGCCTGGAGGTCGGGCTCATTGCTGGAGCACGGGGTTGGCAGGCACACAGCACAGGTCCAGTCCACAACACAGGTCAGGGGCCCGAGCAGGAGTGCATTGTGGGAAGCACTTCCCGTGTACTGTTTCAGCAGTCCCCTCCCAAGTTGTATGGAGTAGGAGAGACACAGGCTAAGGCAGGGTGCAGGGTCACATAGAAAATGGCAGAGCCTGACTTCGAACACAGGTAGGTAACTCAAGAGCTCAGACCCTTCAGCTGAAATAATGGATTGAATTAGTAAAAGGGGGAGAGAATGGGACAGACAACAATATATAGTTTTAGGGGCTGGGGAGATAGCTCAGTGGCATAAGCACCTGCCTGACAAGCGCAAGGTCCTGAGTTCAATTCCCAGTACCCCCCCGCAAAATATATATATAACTATATAGTTATATATAGTTATATATAGTTTTGTAATTTTGAAACATTTTATAATTCTTCAGGTTATTTCTTGCTAGTGTCCTATGGGGAAAAACAATTTTTTTTCTTTTTTTTTTTTAAGCGACTCAACTTTGGAAAAGGGATAGGATAGCAGAGTGGTTAAATGCACATAACTATCCAAGTCAGAGAGCCTGAATTTGACTCTTTTTTTTTTTTTTTTTTTTTGTTTTTTCTCCGGTACCGGGAACTGAACTCATGACCTTGCGCTTGCCAGGCAGGCGCTTTTGCTGCTGAGCTAAATTCCCAGCCCCCCTGAATTTGACTCTTGACTCACTAGCTGCACAGTCTCGAGCAAGTTGCTGGACTTCATTTCCCTTACTTATAAAATGGAGATGAGGGGGCTGGGGGTGTAGCTCAGCAGCACAGCGCCTGCCTGGCAAGCACAAGGTCATGAGTTCGATTTTCCGTACTGGAAAAAAAATAAATAAATGAAGATGATAGTAATATCTACTCTTTGAGTTATAGTAGGCCCTGTTGTCCATGATTACCTTCAGTCAGTCTTGGTCCAAAAATAATAAATGGAGAATTCCAGAAATAATTCATCAGTTTTAAATTGTGCAGTATCCAGGCAACATGAAATCCCTTGCTGTTCCCTTCCACCCCACCTGTGAGTGCATCGTCCCTTCGTCTAGCATTTCCACACCAATCTCTTCTGTGCCTCGATTATGTGTATTACACCCTATAAGTGTGCACGTATAGGACAAAACAGAGCAATGGTTTGGAAGGATCCATGGCTTCAGGCATTCACTCTGGGTCTTGGAACTTATTTCCCACAAAAAAGGGAGGACTACTGTATTATGAGGATTAGATCAGTTAATAGGTATGTTTGTAATTTCTACACTTGGGAGGCTGAGGCAGGATTATGAGTTCTAGGCCACCATGGTGATTGTTCAGTTTCTTAAAATTTTAGAAGTTGCTTATATTGCGGAATTGGCCCTGGGGAGAAAAGTTGCTTGTGTTGTTATGCAAATGAATGCTGTATTTACAGTTTCTCTCCTTTTGGGCGTGCAGCTCTTCTTTGCAGGTGCTTTGATCCAGAACTGTCCCAAATAAGGTTCTTGCTTATTTAAAACCATTATCCTTGGATAGCAGTTTTCAACTTAGAGTGAAATTTTGCATAAGCCATGGGCCTGCCCCTAAGAATCTTGCTACATGGCCTAGAAACTGGCAGGGATCCTCCTTTCCATTCTCATGGTACATGGTGAGGGAGACAGAGTGAGTGGCTTGCACACAGTCACGTAACAAGGTGGCAGGTGAGTCGGGATTTGAAGCCAGTTATCTTGAGCCCATGTTCTGCGCTGTTCTTGTGACGTTTCCAGTACTACTCTGTACAACAAAACTGAGGTGCTGATTGAGCATGTGTGTCCTAGTGACACAAAACATTGCTCTTCTCAGGGTCTGAAATGAGTTGGAGAGCCAGTCTTACATGTGTAAACTCCCCGTGGCTTAGCAACTCAGCTCCATGGTCCTCACAGCTGCATGAGGCAGTGCAGCTTTGCAGCTAAGGTGGAGGCCTCCTGTGGAATCCTCATCTGCCCTTTATACAGCCTCAGGCACAGCATCTAAAGTTTTGGTCCTAGCTTTTGAAAATTAGATCTTTATTAAATTAGGCCACAAGTAATAAACAATCAGGAATCACTAACATTTTTCTCCCAGCTCTTATTTTGATTGACAACCTTGTTTCTTCTCCCTCTCCCCCTTTTCTTTCAGGTTGTCCAGATTGCTGCTCAGATTGCCGGCCCTGCGACTGATGAATGCCACCATCACAGAAGAGCTGTTTTTCAAAGGCCTCATCGGGAATGTACGAATCGACAGTGTTATCCCGCACATTTTAAAAATGGAGCCTGCAGACTATAACTCGCAGATAATTGGTCACAGCATTTGAAAGCTGCGATCACAGTGTATAAATTTATTGTTCCTTCCTGGAACACAAAAAGATACCAAATTGAACTCATTGCTTCCAGGGTATCTGGAAATTTTAACTTTAAAAAGTTACCAAAATCCAAGGTATTTCTACTTTAGCTTCCTTAAGAACTTTTGAAGTGACTGGACGGTCAGCAGGAATTAGATTTCCCTTTCTGTTTCTGTTTTATATTATAAAACAAATAAATTAGTCTTTTCCCCTTGAATTGTGTTCTATTCATATTTAACTTTATTGTGAACTAATATACTTACTGGTCGTTATTCTTAAGGAGAAATTCCTTGTATTTTTAATCTTCCATAATGTAATCTGTTTTAATCTCCATGTCAAAGATTACTTTTTGCTCAATGGTATGATAATATTAGAACTATAGGAAATAATAATCAAATATATATTTTTTGTCTTTGTAAATTCATAATGTCCTTAGCATATACTAGTCATTGCTGGCAATGAGGCGTAGGCTGTTCATGACTTTTAATGTTGTGTTTTATTAGTTACAAGCACTTTTTATTTAGGTGGCAGAAAATTGGTTTTGAAAATAAGATGGGGTTTGTATTTTAGTATTTTTTTATTGCTGTGTGTTAAATATAGTAGCATCTAAGCCCAAAATAGTTCACTCTTTCAAAATGGGTATTAAAACTGTTGCTTTTGCATAGTCCACAAGAAGCACCTGAATTTCCCTTCTTCTCATACCTGTGTTACAGCTTCCTGACTCTGCCTTGGAGTTTAGCTGATTTCTTTCAGGTTGTTAGAAGAGCTGGTCTAAGCTGCTGTTAAATAATGGACTTGTCACAGCCAGTCCATGTTTTCAAAAAATCTATGGGTTAAACAATTATTTAAAGCAACTGATAATTTTTAAAGGAACATGTACTAATTTTTTCATTACAAAGTAGTAGTGTTGAAGGGTCAGACTGAAGCCATGTTATCCCACAGTGAAAGCATTTTTATATTGTTTTTGGCTTTTTGTTTGGAGACAGAATCTTGCTTTGTAGTTCAGGCTGGCCTTGAGCTCACTATGTAGTCCAGCTCTTCAACTCCTGGCAGTCTTCCTGCCCCAGTCTCTCAAGTGCTGGGATTAAGTGCTGGGTATCCTGCACCACACCAAAAAGAGCATTTTATACTGGTGTCCCCCACAGCAGTGTTACAAGCAAACCCACTACTGTTAGATGTTTCTTTGCTTTTATTCACAGTGGTATTAGTACCTATTGATTTTCAAAACACATATATGGAGAGTTCATTGTACTCAGTACATTTTTTATAAAGATTTTTGCAATAGAAGAGAGAGTGGATTTTACTGATGACTACTTTATAGTCATTTTTTAAAGTATCAACATTTTTTAAAAGTATCAACTTAGTCTCTAACAACTTATCAGGTAAAACTTCTTTCCCAGTTTAAATCATGATTTTTGTCAACAGGTTTATTTCTAATTCTCAGCTGGAGGAAACTACACTTAGTATAAAACACTCAAATGAAAAAGTCAGGGTTACACCTCTATAAGCCCGTGCGTGGTAGTAAACCAGGGCTTCAGAAAATCCCTTAATGTACTAATGGCTAATTAAGATATTTCTTTCAGGTATTTTTTCCTGATTAAATTTGTAGTTCTATATGGAAGTGTTAAACTATATTAAAATGTAACTTGTATTACAAAGTTCTGTATTCTACCAATATATTTCATTTCAGTGTCCTGTTGTTCAGTGTTGAGGTCTCTTCCCATCACAGGGCTGCGGGCATAGCTCGGTACTAGGGCCTCTGTCCCACAGGCGTCGCTTCTCCAGCACCGAGGCAGAAAGTGCATGTCTGCACCGTGGAGCAAAGAACTCAAAACCACGAGTCCCCATGGCAGGAGAGCGGATGAGTAACTGGTGCTGTAGTGACCTGGTGCGATGCTGTCTAAAACCAAACAAAGGGATAAACTGTCAACATTGATGGGTTCACGAAATATGCACAAAAACAGCAAGTGCAGAAGTTTACAAAGAATGTAAATTAACAGATTTATTGGACAGATAAAATGTGGGTGTTAAGGGGTACATGTGAAATGAGTCATTAAAAAGCAAGAATTAGTAATACTTGATTTAGATGCTAGTTGCATTTAGAGTGGTAGGATGAAAATGGCGGGCTGTATAAGGGGCTTAGAGTGTTGATGGTGTTTTAGTTAGCTTCTGCTTCACCTCTCCAGAACGTGGTTTAAAACAGCATCTGTTTAGCTCGGGAATTTACAGTAGCACAGCTTGGTAGAGACAGCTCTGCTGGGCTCAGCCAGAGCAGAGGCTGCCCGGTGATGGTGGTGCAGAATCTTGGGAATGGCTCCCGCATGCCGGGAAGCTGACCATGCTGTTTGCTGGGAAATCCAGTGGGACTGAAGCCAGAATGCTTATGTAGTCCCTCAGCTTTGCTTCCACGCCGCACATGGCCTAGTGGCTGAGTTCTAAGAGCAAGGGTTGATAGAGTCAGGAGAAACCACATTGCCTTTCTTACTAGCAGTAGAAGTCATTCAGTCTCTTCTGTTCATCAAAGAAATCATAAAGGTCTGTGCAGTTCCAAAGGGAAGAGAAAAATAGGTGGTGCACGCCTGCAATCTTGGCACTCAGGAGGCTGAGGCAGGATTGCTGTGCATCAGAGGTGTAGGCTACATAGTGAATTCAAGGCCAGCCTGAAGTACACAGCAAGAGCATGTCTCAAAACAAGTAAAAATTCCCAAAATGGTTAAAATTAATCTAGCAAAGTTGGAGGATACAAAAGCAACACAAAACCAGTTGCATTCTGCGTAATGACAATAACAAGTCAAAAAGGAAATTAAGAAAACAGTTGCATTTATAATAGCATCACAAAGAGTAAAATTAGGAACAAGCTTAACCAAGGAGGTGAAATACTTGTACACTGAAAGCCACAAAGCTTGCTGGAAGAAATTAAGACAAATGGAAAGCCACCCATATTCAAGAGTTGGAATACTTAAATACTGGTAAAATGTCTATACTACCGTCCTCCTTCAGGTTCAGTGAAATCCTTATCAAAATTTCAATGGCCTTCCTTGTGAATCTTAAAAATTATAAAATTCATGTGGAATTTCAAAGGATTCCAAATAGCAAAAACATTCTTAAGAAAGAAGCTGGAGACTTTTTACTTCTTGACTTTAAAGCATAAAGCTACAGTAGCCAGAATGGTGTAATCCTGGCATAAAGATGACATTGAAACAGGCCAGCCCTGGGCGCACAAGGTGCACACGTCTTTGGCGGGCGGACAGTGAGAACCCAGGACAGCAGTCCAGGAGCGCAGTGTAATCAGCAAGACGAACAACGTGGGAGTGTCTGAAGCAGGAACAAGGAGCCAGCAGTTGGGCTGTCCGACAGAAGACCAGTTCCAGCCCCCACATCCAGACGCCCAGCACAATTCCCGTGGCAAACTTGGCTGGAGTACACAGTGCATTTCTGGGATCTGACATGGACACTATCACAGAACTGTAAACATCAGAGATATTTTCCTACTTTTACTCTCTCTCGTTTGTCTGATTGGCTGTCCCTTTCCTGTCTGGTTAGAGGTCATCTTGTTTTGTATTTTGTGGTTATTTTTGGTTTTGGATTTTTTTTTTCTCCTCGTGTCTATTTTCTTTTCCATTCTCTTCCTTTTTCTCCTACTGTTTATGCTTCTTACCTTTCTTTTTCATTTTCTTCTACTGACATTTTTTTTTGTTTTGTCTTTCTGAGACAGGGTCTCGCTATGCAGTTCTGGCTGGCCTTGAGCTCACTTTGTTTTTGTTTTGGTTTTTTTCCGGTACTGGAATTGGACTCACGACCTTGCACTTGCCAGGCAGGCGCTGGGCCGCTAAGCTAAATCCCCAGCCCCCTTGAGCTCACTTTGTAGCCCAGGCTAACCTCGAACTCACAAGGATCCCCCTACCTTAGCCTCCTGAGTGCTGGAATTACATGTGTGCTCCACCATGCCTGGCTATTGATGTTCTTTGTCTCTTTATTTTTTGAATTTAAACTTTTAAGTGAGTAAACATTGTCTCTTCCCTTTCTGATTACTTCTTTGCATTGTTTCATTCTTTTCCTCCTGTGTTCTCCAGTTTCCCAAAGCTCGAGTGATTATCCTTTGACTTCCAGCCTTGACTCTACTATGTTTGACCTCATTCAACCCTTTATCCTGTCCCCTACCCATCTTAACACACACACACAAACACACAGGGTAAAATCATTTCACGAAGGGGAAAATTACTGCATACAAGAATGTGGTATATGTTTGACTTTGTTATATAACTTTAGAGGTTGCTCCTGTGGATGGAGGTAGCAGATTAATGGTTACCATAGTTTGTCAGTAGTTAAGCTGTACTTGAAACTGTTGGTATTAGTAACTGTACTACTTTAGACAGGGTGTTGTACATGTTCTAATCATTTTTCTTCCTTGTATGATAACGCCTTGATTGTATGGCATCATAATCACCACCACAACCCAGCACCAGAGGAGTGGGTGCCAAGACAGATAGTAACTTTGTTTCCTTTACAAATTGGGAAGGTAGATTCTTGGGATAGCTGTAAAGAACTACCTACATATAGAAGACAACCTTGAAGAACAGACATCTACAGAAGCCTAAATACTAGTGATAAAGCTATCATAATAAATTGGCAAGTATCAACATGGAAAATGAAATGAAATAAAATAAAAAACAGAACATAGAAAATGACAAGACACAGAAACAAAATGCAACCCCAGACCCCCAGCCCACTGAGGACAAGCCTGAAGCACAGCGCAATAGACAAAATTAGAAGTCAAACACTGGAACTTCTGAAAAAGCAACAGAAGTGAAAAAACAAGTGGAAAAGGCTATAGAGAAAATCTCTCAGATACAAGAAGAAATGCTTAAAGTCAAAGATACTAGAGCAGATGTAATAAAAGAATAGATGAGCTTAGAAAAATGGAAACAAAAAATTGCCCACCTTGGGAAAAAATTGGATTCATGAAACAGATCCAAACAAATCCAGGAGATTAAAACCTCCACTGAAATTATTTGCAGTAGATTGAAGGAAGGACGGATAGTATTTCAGATCTTGAAGACAGAATTGCAGCTAGTGATCAAGAAAAGAAAAATATTTCAAAAATAGCAAGAGACCATGAAGAATGAATCCAACAACTACAAGATGAAAAAACAAGAATAATATAAAGATTGGTGTCCGTGAGAAAGCTGGAGGCAGCACAAATGCCATAAAAAAGAA